GTGGGTGAACACTGATGAAGAGTTCCAAACTAGGACGAAACAACTGGCTCAGTACTTTCAGGTTTTCGAGTGGTTCTCTAACTAATGTCAGCTCAGGATGAAATTCTCCATCCCATCTTTTATGTGGATCAAAAACTTGGCAAGTGCTCCACAAAACGCATTCCCAACAGACTACTGAAGACTACAGACTACATCTTCCTTGTCTGGCTGCATTCTTGAGATGTTGTGTCCAGCCAGAAAGAGTTAGCAACAAGTAACTCTGGTAGGTGATGAACGAACCAAGAACCTATTGTTCAACAAAGATGTCGAAAAGAATGGGGATAGAATGGACACATACTGAAGAGACCGTTGGATAGCATCGCGCCCCAGGCGGTCCCTCGAGTCGATCTCGAAGGGGAAACGACGAATTGTTGGGAGATCGTTCAAGGTTGGTATGCAGGAGGTCGAGTGAGGAGGAGGTACCAGTGAAGAGAATACAGTGGGGATATACTGCTGAAGTCCTGTATTTCACTTGGAACCTAAGGGAACAATAATAATAATAACAGAACTCATGAGCCGTTGGATTTCAGTCCAATAGCTGAATGACCACTGAACTCACCTTGTATCGTAAATGTCGTGGATCCGATCCCTACTGGAGTCATGGGTACATACTACTAAAGAGTCGCAAAACCAGGATGAAATAGCTATCTCGCACTCCCTGATCTTCGGAGATTCTCTAACTTAAGTCAAATCATGATCAAAACTGACAATGATAAGTTTAGAATATTAAAAAACAGCTTTTGTATTTACTGCCAAAATAACAAATTGAATCACTCAATTGTAGATAAGCAACAAACGCCAAACGACAGAAGAGAAACATTTAGGCAAAAACAGCAAATTACATACATGTACATACCTTATTTCTATATATGTAATTAAGTGAAGGGTAGTCACAAGGATCAACAAATAATGATTCTCATCTTGTTTTGTATTTTTCAGGTTTTATTTTCATTAACCTAATTATTATTTCATTTAATCTAATTAAAGACACCTCATTTATTTGTTAAGCTACTTACTCAATTGTAGATAAACAAACTGAAGAATAATAATAATGATAACGATAATAATAAGGAGAAATTACTTCCCCTTAATTCATTTAGATAAACAAAGCAACATTGGACATTATTCGCTTACAATTAGATTTTCTTTATTATTACCATAGAGAAACAGTTAAACAGTCAATTTGAAAATCAACAAATTGAACTTGACTCTTTCCTTCTTTCTCTCTTTTGTTGTTATACAGATTAATCAACTTAAAAGATTTATTTATTTATTTTATTACTTGTTTTTATGTTGGGCAAAAAAAATAATACAATAAAACAAATTGCTTAATAATATCTGCTAACATTGAGCATTGAATCGACCGACCGACTTCTGTTCAATTTTGTATTTTTGCGCTCTAATTTCAAACTTACTTAAGTTTTTTTTTGTATTTTTTATTTCTTAATTTATGCTTTTATTATGACAACTGATTAAAGGACATGCATAGATAGCATCATGATAAACTGCATTTATCCTAGTTTTAATATTCAGGAGCTTTCTGTTTCAGATGGAAGGTAATTACAACAAATGTTTGTGGGTTATTAGTCTATTGGGATTAAAGACGATAACATAATTGTTTTGTTCATCCGCCTCTTTATTTCTCGACTCTATGTCCTGTGATACTCTCAACATTGTACATCAATAAACAAAAATCTATGAACTTCTCAACTAGTCTTCATAAAGCTGTGAACTCATCTACACTTTGCCTCTCTCAATGGGACATTTAATATATTACCAATTTCACTGTTTGTCTAAATACTGTTAGGGTTCAAAAAACAGAAAGTTATAATGAATGCCTAGTTAAAAATAGCACTTAATGTGTAGGGATTTGACTTCTTCACAAACTTGATCACGGATTGATGTTAGCTATAGAACCAATAAAAGCCACCAGGGAGTACTAGACAGCTGTCCTGTTCTCATAGTTCAGGACTCTTCAGGACTGATTTAGATTTGCGTGGTCACGCTAAAATCATGAGTTGATAGAAGTTGGAATTCATAGATCACTAGATCGGGTCCTAGTGGCTGAATGGTTAACAAGCTTGACTTGTAACTGGAAGGTCTTGGGTTCATACCCCGATGTGAGCGTACTGATGAGGAGCCCCAAATCAGGGTCAAATAACTGTCAAGTACGCCCTGGTTTACAATAGTTCTCTAACTGGTATCAATCCCTGATCAAAATAGAGATAATGGTTAATACAAAGTATATTGGTCATTAAGGAGCTATTCTTAATGTTTCATAATTCGCTTAGATTACACGCAAGTCATCTTATAAATTTAATTATCCCATTGACCGACATCACATTTCAGGCAGTGTCCCAAGTGGAACCTGAATGGGAAACGATGATCCGGTCTTTGGTTCAACAGTGGCATTCAGGACAACACCTGAGGACGAAATGAAATTGTATGGTCAATTGGAGTGCCAACGGAAAAAGACTTCAGAAAACACGATGATATGGACATGTGCTGCCAAAGCCCTATGCTCCGCTGGGAATCCCAGGGAATAATAATAGTAATAAATAATGATATTTTCAAATATTTCTCTTCTGAAATAGAAATGGATATAACGCCTACAATGACACCGAAAGATCTAAAAAGCTAAAGAAAAGTAGTAACGGTATCAGTTTATTCAAGTATTATTCTTCTAACAGTAACTTTGGTAGTCAGGCTTCGTTAGAAAAAAACAATACAAAAACCTAAGCCTCTTATTTAAGCAGCTTGTGGCAAAGATTTATGAATTTCGTTTTGAAGTCAGCTGCTGTTGAATTGTAGGTTAATATATTCAGATGGTGAATTTGTGCGACTTTGATTTGTGTCGATTTAGGTTTTGATAAGAACCGGCATCACTCATACCACTGTTGGGAAATAGATGTCACTAGCAAGCTGCATATTATTATTATCACTATACGTTCAGATTTCGAGTGGAGTATAGGGCTACAACAGCGCATCTCGATTTCATCCTGTTCTCTGTTGTCGTTTTTAGCTGGCAACGAGATTGACTATAGGTCCTCATTTTGAGGTCACGCGATTTCCTTCTTATCATTCGCAGACGTACACTTAAATCGTCGTTTCGCATTTGGGTACCATTTAAACAGCTGGCCGGTGCATAGTGTTACTCAGAGGTCCCCTCAGTATGTGTTTGATCCATTCGCATTATCCCCGGCATTTCCAGATTGGTTCCATACTGATGAACATGTGTTGTTTGGCGTTCCAATTCCTACTGCCATTTAACATTTTCTTCCACTCCGCATGTAGTTTGAACGATTTTGCTGCCAGGATAAGTGAAAAAAAGTGAGCTCGTTCAAAATTTCTCTTATTGACAGTGACTGATGATGGTTGCTGCTGACTGGTTATCTTCATCGCCTCTGTCTTCGCTGGATGTCTCTCCTCACTACTTGTTGCTTTTCATCTTCCGATCTACGATTTTATGTGAAATTACAGACAAATCGTATGCAAAGTCCGAGACTTCTAGAATATCCTTGACAACCCATCGGGTAGCCCCGTCTTCTCGCTCCCGAAAAAATGGTCTTTCCTATGATCCAGTCCACCTAAATTAGACAAATCATCAGTGATAGTAGGCAACTGCGTTTCGAGGATAATCATCTATTTATTGATCTATCTCAGATGGCAACAGTAGAGAATAGATACCAAAATCAAATGACCTTGAAACAACCAATCGGATTCCTTCGGTTAAAAAGTGGCATAGAATTAATAAAAAAACTGTATTTATAACATATATATTTAATAAAATGAACCATACAGGATAAGTATCTCTAATATGCTGCAAAAACTGGTCCCAGTTTGTCATAGGAGTGGTTATAGACATATTAAATCAATGTCAATACAAGAATTCATCTAAATAGCTATATACTATATAACTTCGGGAACCGTTTACCATTCAGATACTTTTTAAGGTGAGCCTAAATTCCTTCAATGGAATTTGTATGTGTTCCTGTTATAGGATCCACCAGTTCAGAAGAATGGCCGACTTTGTGATGAATATAGCCTAGTGATGATAATTGAGGATAACCTCTCCACTCGTCTGTGTGAATGGTAGTTCCTGGGAGGACTAGTCGTTGTATAATTGGTATTAACACATCAGCACTTCTGTTCGCTATGCGTTCTACAAACCCATTACGAAGATTTGTGTCGTAAAGTTCCCGCACCCAAACATGATTTTCTCTACTCCTGCCTCGATTCATTTTTCGCTTAATAAGAACAGTTTCGTCAACATGCACGACAACGCCAACTCCCCCAAGTACAGAGGTGATCCCATTTAGCTTTTGTAAGGCAATATCACGGCAGTGCTGATACCACTGCACTGTTAAAATCTTTGTATTCTCCCTTTCTGCATCTGTAACAGATACTGGTCGCTTTAGTAACCAGTTGTGGCATATACTCAATACTTTACTAAGGGACAATTTCGATGTGGAGAAGAAAGTAACTAAGAAACCACCATAATGTGCGATTTACCGACTCTCACAAATTTCCTCATGTAACAGTGGTTGGATCTAAATCCGTAGCCGTCAGTAGCCTGGTAATACTTTTGTAGAGTTATTATCCCTCTACATATGCAGGTTTTAAACCTCTCTATCAACCCTTTTTCCACACAGAAGTCAAAAACTAAATTTGGGTGAAACTTACAACGAAGTTCATGAACCGCATCCATTTTGAATGATGAGCGATCTGATTGGCTGCTTCAAGGTCATTTGATTCTGGTGTCTATGGCTTACTCTTGCCTCTCAGACTGATTTTATAATCATACTGTTGCAGTTCTATCAGCATACAGTTACAGCAATAGACAGTTTGTCATGAGTTTGTTGTATGTGTTCACATATTTCTATATTTCCTTGTTATAGTAGTCATCATACTATTTATTTATATGATCCTTATTTAATCATCTCTTTTTACATATGTTTTAGAAATATTCATCAGCACCAAATTCAAATGGTATAAACAAGCCTATCAACTCAGCAGTACTCACATCGGCGTCAACAGTAACTCTGTCTTCCTCTCACTCTTCCTTAGAATCAATCTCCCACAATATCAAAACGACTTGTTTAAAAGCATGTTATACAGCTCAAATTGTCTATAGTCGATCAGATCAACTACAGAACAGTCCCAGTAGTGCATACTGTCCTAAACTAGACACTTGGCCTGAATCATGTCAGTATACTTGTCAAAATGACTCAGACTGTTTACCCTATGGATATACAAAGTGTTGTCAAACAACAAAATGTTTTAAAATCTCTCAACATAAAAGATTAATAAATCATACAAAAAATGTTACAAAATTTAGTGTATGCAGTCAAGGTGTTTATAATCCTAAAGGTGAGTGTTACCATGACACTAGCTTATATTGTTGTCTATAACAAAACATTTATGCTTTAATGACATTTTTATCTCAATGGTGACAAGTAAGAATGTAAAAGAAATTTATATTTAATGTGTTGATTAATGATGAATATAGGAATATTTTTTTCGGATAAATTAGTCATCAAATTCTACAGCAATAATTAGACACTTGTGGCGGTTAACAATATTAGCGCTGTTTTAAATAACATTGAATCAGTGGTGTCGACAGATGATTACATTTCAGAAGCATCAGTAATAAAGAGAGAGATAATATGCGTTAAAAGAACACTAAATCGATTGAATATCAGATAAATGAAGAGAAATAACAGAGAAGTTTTGAATTTATAGATATGACAGAAGGCCAGGCTAGCAATAGTGGCTGGACCTGTTTCTTTTGCACACAGAGCGCCGACTGATTTAAGTGAGCTCTGATGGCTTCTGCTTTTTGAATTGTTTTGTGTTCAGAGACCTTTGGTAATTTATTTGATACCCAGTAGATGATAGAGTGAGGTTCTTAAGTGTTGGCTTTGTAGCCTTTCTGCACAAGGTGATTCCATAGAGAGTTTGTTGACTAATTTAACAGCGCCTTTATTTAAACTTTCTGGCAGGTGTTCCCTAGCATGAAAAACTAAGATACAGTGACAGGTGTCTAGCCTAGGTACTCGATCTTTCAATTCACGAATCACAATCAATTGCGTGGAAAATATAATCTGAAGCTCCCCAGCATTAAACCCTCTTTGAATCAATTTCCTCAACTTGTTAGTTATTATTAATTCACTTAACATATCACCTTCGAATTGTAGTCGTATATACCAAGGCTTCTTGTTGAAAGGTGCAGAAAAATTCTTTTCTTCTTTCTTGGCCATGTGTCTCATGACGAACTTTTCAAGGAAGCTGTTTTAAGTCCATCTTTTATCACACCTTCTAAACAAATAGCTAAGGGTCCTTACTAAAACTTTCTATACGAATAAGGAACAAAGCTGTGAAAATGTGTATAATGACTGATTCAAGTAATTCTCTTATGTAAATTCCTTCTTATACTACAGTCTGGTCTTCTTGTCATTAGGATGTCTGAAGAGGCAATCTTACTTTAGGATTCTGCTTCACAAATGAATCTGATATCTGAATGTATTTCACTAAATTGAGGTATAACTGAGTTCTTATCCAAATTGTTTTCACAAATAATAAATGTATCATTCATATAACAGCAATAAAATAAGAATTTCCTGATATGGTTTTTCAAAGGGCCATTTTCTAGTCTAATTAGAAAGAAATCTACTAACATGGAATTCCATGAAGAGCCTATCACCAATCTGTCCACCAGTCTGTAGATTTATATTTTACAATACATACCAGTCTCTACTACAGTGAAACAACTGGCATTAGTTGCAACGCTAAAAGATACCATGTACTGGCCTTCTTAAAATCTTTTTGTAGATAGTCACTGTAACCTGGAAGTTAATGCCTAAGAAATCTTTAACTCATGTACCAAAGAGAATTATATATATATATATATATATATATATATAAAATACTCCAGAGTAATCATCGTTAACAATACTGATGTTTTTAAATAATATCGATTTCTTAAGATTCATGGAATTACAGTTCGAGAGGAATGCGTAGGCTATAAGCATAAAAAATATAGTACTAAATAGAATGTCGGATAAAACTAAGAAAATCTAAGCAGTAAATTAAGGATAGTCAAAACCTTGACGGCCAAGATAAGGAAAGAGTCAGGACTAACTTATTTCGACACCCAAGTTAAGCTTCCTAGTGTGGATTGCAACGGCTTCAGCTCGTAGAATAGGGCTATGAATATACCTGGTTTATCCCTCACCTGACCACTCAGGGTGTTGTTTCGAAATCTGACAATAAGCATGCCTTACTGTACGCCCTTTATATCAGGGCAGATTGCATTTACTATGCCAACCAAACACTTTATTACATTTCAAGGGTACGAAGTTTAAAAACCAGTGAAATAGCATACCTATAAGTCTTATCTCAATAAGCCGATGACAAACTTATCCTTGGTATTACTTCGGTAGCCTAATCCTAGCTGCAGAACACGCTAAGATGAATACATGGAATATCTTAAGAACTAAGCTTTTATTACTTCCACAGATATAAGAACAGAGATTTGCTCAAATGTGTGAAGGTCTGACAGAAATAGGCCATCACATAACAGAATATCAGAATGATTTTTGAATAAAGCAAGAACAGTGGTCTGTGTAGAATAAGATTATACCATCAATTACTTCCTTGACTTCTTATCAGCTGCGTGTAAAGAATTGTACATGATGTCAGTTACTGATAGAAGACTGCAAACTTAATAAGCAGTGCTCGGAAAATCACACATATATAGTTTATACCTAGAAAAGGTTTAGACACAATGAAAAAAGAGTTATAGAGTGAAGACAAGAAGGGAATAAGATGATCGGTAAATAATGAATTCATTATTATTATTTATTTACATTATTATATCCTTTAATTCCTAGAGGAACATAGGGCTTCAGCCACCCAAGTCTCCATTGATTTCGGTTTTCTGCCAACGTTTTCACCCCGCTCCAAGTCTGCCTACATGCTTTCATCTCCTCTTCACATGACCTCCTCCTCCTCCAAGTCACCCTTGCACTGACGACTAACTCACCGCTTCCCTTTCGGGTTCCACTCGATCAATGACTTGTCTAGTGATGTCACTTGATGGTTTCCTCAGAGTATGGCCAGCCAATCCATCTCCATTTCTTCCTGCCCACTTGTTTCACAATCGGTTCCTGCTGGGTTGGTTCGCTTATCGCCAGAGATCCCTGTTGCTGATCTTGGGTATTGAGCGAAGACAACTGTCAATGAAGGTCTGAAGTTTGTTTGAGATGCCCTTTATGACGCGCCAAGTCTCTGATCTGTATAGTAAGTTGCACTGACTTCACATTGGAGTTGAAAATCCGGATCTTATTTTTGATGATGAGTGCTGTTGACCTTCACACAGGCTTGAGAGCAATGATAGCTTGTCTTACTTTTCCGATTCTGGCTTTGATATCCTCGTCAGTTCCACCTGTAGCTAAAACGATTTTTCCTAGATAGGTAGGTAAAGGAGGTTGTTTCTTTCAGGTTCCTCCCATTTATGCTGATTGCTGTCTGTTGGTGTTGGCCAGGAATCTTCATTACCTCTGTTTTATCTATGAATTTATTAACAATGTGATGATTTCAACTGGAGTCATAGAAACAAGAGACAAGCGAAGTTACACTAAACCAAAATGGAGAAGAAGTCAAAGTCAAAGATTACGTGAAAAAATGAAGGAGGGAATAAAGACAGTCAGTTACAAGGGCAAGGAAAGACCAATAACTACTCCTTTCTTAACATATGAACTGGATTTCAGGAGTTTGACGAAGAATTCTTCAGTAAACTTGAGAAGAATTTAACCACTTTGTCTGGTGATAATTTTAAGGGATGTAATGTCCACCTCATGACCCCTATTGATGAAACTTCTGACAGTGGCAAGTTTATTTCTTTGAGACGTGGGTATTTTGGTAAATTTTCATTAAATTGGAGGTATGGTCTTCTTTCTATTCTCCCAATATAACTGCTATTACAGATACATGTAAGTCTGTATACACAGAGTTCATATGCGAAGGATATCTATCGACCTGTGACTGCATCAAACAGCACACTGTCCGATAATAAACAGGCTCTGGATGGTGAGGTTTACAATCTTTTGGTAACTATTCCTGAACTCTCATGTCTTCCTCACTTGTCAATGAATATCTAAGGGTAACTGTTATTTTTCAACATCTTTTCGAAGATCAGAAATACTTCCTCTAACGTTCTTTTGTAAATCATATTCTCCTGGCTTTATTTTTGTTTAAACTTGAACTTTCTGTGTGTAGACTATTCAAGCGTAATTTTCTAAAAACTGTTTATTAAGTCTGGAGTTTTCTGTCAACTGAAATCAAGCAAAACTTGCTGCACGTAGCTGATGAGAAATGAACGAAATAAATGATGGGATCACCATCTTATTCTACACAAACTGTTGTTCTTGCTTTGTTCAAATTCATTAAAGGGAGTAAATAGTATGAAGAATGATTTTTATTTCAGGAATCTATTATTTCATCGAGTATGTGCCTTGTATTTAGCACAGCAACTCTTATTAGCTGAAGTGAATTACGGCTGTCAGATAACTAAGAGTGCATTTATAGACCGTATTTCTCGACTTCTAAACTCAGCTGGTACATTCAAAGTTTCAGCAGTACTTTAGAACATTCTTTCTTATTGAAAGTGTCTATAGACTGCTCACCTAACTAATTTCCAGTTATTGCAGTTTTCAAGTGAACACTTCTGACAAATTGTTTGTTTTTTCTTCTTCTCTGAAACTATTTACAGTTACTCCACCTGTTCCTGGTAGACCAATAGTTAAACGAATTGAAACTCCTCTTCAAGTTCAGTCAAATGGTAGACTTTATTCGCTAACCTCAGAGAGTTCAAGTCTTTCATCAAATGGACATCAGCATAATCATCAGTTGGAGTTAGATTGGCCAAATTATTATAATCATTCAATTAGTGAAAATAATCCCGTGGTATTCCTCATTCAACTCCGTATGTATTCATCTCTTGTACAGACAATTCAATCGCCTATGGATAAACCTAACAGTATGCCATTTTTCTCTATGAATAATTTTATGGAACCATTTCAGCCGAATGAATATTTATTTAATAAATGGACCAGTTTAATTTGGGTAAGATTACTTCCCCTTTTTTTAACAGAAGTTGACATGCATACAAGATTTTAAATATTATATTTTTCTTATTACTTCTTGGTTTGTGGGGATTTTATCTGCCTACAGTTTTGACTGTAAGCTTACATCAGTTAAATAACCACTGGAAATTCAGGGAGTACTGGACAGCTGTTTCGTCCTAGTTTGGAACTATTCAAAAGTACGCACCCATCAGGGTTCGAACCCAAGACCTTTGGGTTACAAGGCGAGGTCTCTGACCTGATCCAGTGGCCTATAAATTCCAACTTCTGCCTATTCGCGACATATATATAGGACAGTCGTTAGCTCATGTCATCAGCGAGTAACTGCTCTCTTACCTAACTTGTTGTACCCCGCCTATCACGGCTTAGCACTAGAACTCTCGATGACTTTCTGCATGTTGGCAGTAGCCAGTGAACATCAGGTTAATTTTCAAGTTTCGATCTGCAGGGATTTGATTAGCCTACACTTTTATTCACGAGCCGAAATTTGGTGGCCTGCTTAAAACTTGGGCGAACAAAAACTTCCACCTCTCTCTCTATTGCATATATTTTCTCTCGTTCGGTTTGTTTTAATCAATTAAGATATGACACCTCTAATGGTATTATCTACTCTTGTGTGCATTTAAAATGTTTACAAGCCTCTGTTTCGCTAGTTCTTACTAAATTTGAGAAAAGTCCTGATTCTGGGTGGTAACGTATCTTCAATCATGTTCTTGGGTCTCAAAACGTTCTTCTGAACATCTTACAAATGACTTTCAAGAGAATATCGTGGATGGATTGCTTGAGGGAGACAAAGCAGACATATCACAATGGAATACTTTTTGCTTCAGCTCAGAGGCCATTGTGTCATAGGTTATACTATCAATTAATATTTTATTTGAAGATACTCTACGAATGGATAATATCGTGCATTAAACTCCTGTGAAAATTCTGTACATTTTATAAACACTGTCCAGAACAAAGATGTTATTGTTATATCAGTTAGGGAACTACTGAAATATCAGGGAGTACTGGACACACCTGAAAGGTGTCGAAAATTCCCTACCTTTCTTCGTGTATATTTTTCTCTTAAGTCTTAGTAATTTATAGATATCTGCAAAAAAGTTTAAAATTAAGGAAAGGTATTTACTGATCGAAGGGAAGGCTATCATGTCAAACTACCAAAGAAGGACGACTTGTGCCACTGCAAGAACTTGCCCAGAATCATGACGTTCACGACGTCAAGCAAAATATTAAGTCATGTCATCCTGGAGATGCTAAAAGATGTACTGGATGCAGAAATTCGACCGAAACAAGCCGATTTCAGGAAAAGCAAACAATGTACGGATCAAACTGCAACTCTACGCATCGTCATCACAGAAGAAAGCATAGAATGGCAGTGAAACCTCTAACTCAACTTCATCAACTTCAAACAGGACTTTGAAAGCGTTGACCAAGAAGTAATTTGGGAACCACTACAACGTTAAAAAGTGCCTCAAATCTTTATCAACCACATCCAACAACTGTGTGAAAATGCTACATTTAATGTGATCCACAACAGAGCACTCAGCGAAGCCTATGGAGTGAATACAGGAGTAGGACAAGGCTGACGGCCTACTATCACAAACGATATTCCTAATCGTGGAGGAATGGATTATATTGCAGACTGTTGGAAGAGAGAAGACTGGAATACCTTGAACCTATGAGGAGACTGTACTTCACAGACGATTTATGTCTACTGTCACATAATTTCGAAGACTTCTAGTGAGTGTAGAGAAGACAGAGGTGAGGACCATAAACAACCAACAACAACAAGCATAAATGAATATCAATTAGAGAAATTCGAAAGAGATTACTCCCCTGACTTATTTAGGCGTCACCGTTTCAATTACAGGCAGATGGCACTAATGAAGATTTCATGGGCAGTGGAGATCAGAAGGTCAAAACAGGCCTTCATCAGTGCGAAAATGAGCTTCACTCAGCAGAAAGAACAAGATTCAGATTTTCAAAACTGATGTAAATTCAGTTAGGGCTTCTGTATGATTTAGAGACTTGACAAATGCATCACGAAAAACATTTCGAACAGGCTACTGCGGACTTTATTCAACAGCTCCCTTAGTTCGCTGCATACTGAGGATCAGATGGCTAGTGAGAAAGAACTAGCATCAAGAATCTCTTGGAACCAAGAAGCTATTGCTCTAAAAACACTCCATAGGAAATGGAGATGGATTTGACAGGCAGTAAGGAGACGCAACGCAGCCCCTTGAGGATAAACCGAGTGGGGAATGACGAGTTTGGCGTATGCTCGAGAGTGACATGAAGAGGAAAGTTAATGGGAAATTGTGAGGCCAGATGAAAAGGACTGCAGAGGACAGGACTAAGTGGATATGAGCTGTAGAAGCCTTATGTTTCACTCGAAACCCAAGTGAATAATGATAATAACAGTAATGGTAATAACTAACAGTTATCAAACTGTAAGTATATCCATAATCTTTCACAAGTGAATAAGTCGATTACTTTACCAGCAAAATATACACCAGTTGCCTTTTTCTAAACAGCATGATAAAATGAATTAAATTATTTTACATTAAAAATCGTGTTATTCACAGGACAGAAAATGGATGAATTTCAACATACTAAAAGTTAATTACGTTAAAATGCTAATAATTAATTTTGCAGAACTTTTTTAACAACAGTGAACATCAGTTTTGCATGTTGTGAAGGATATTCATTTGCCTAATTTAATTTATTCAAGTTATTTATTACATTATTATTATTGCTTTGGGTTCCAAGTGGAATGTAGGACTTCAACAGTACACCCCCGTTTCACTCTGCAGGTCGAGTGTGAAGACAAATACTCGCCGAAGACATTGGCTAGGGATCGTGCTATGTCGTGGATTGGCAGAAGTTAGAATTCATTGGCCATTGGATCGGGTCCCAGTGGCTTAATGGTATGCGAGCTCACCTTGTAACCAGAAGGTCCTGGGTTCGAATCCCGGTGGGTGTGTACTGATGAAGAGTCCCAAACTAGGCTGACGAAACAGATGGCTATCCAGTACTCCCAGGCTTACCAATGTTTCTCTAACTAATGTCAGCTCATGATGAAATTCTGTAACCAGTCAAATCCCTACAAACCAACACTTGAATATCACTCTGTTCTCTCCCGTCCTCATTATCTGGATCCGCCACTGTCCATTAGTTCTCATCTCCTCCTCACGGAATTTCTCCTCTATTTCACTGTAGGATACACGCCTAACTCACCGTTTCCTATTCGGGTTCCATTCAAGGGGCTATCTGGCATGCAATGTCACTCAACCGTCTCCTTAGCATGAGTCATTTAATAAAGCTCTCTCAGAGTTTGTACAGAATGATGCCATTGATAGTAGCAATCTTTGGCCTACTTTTAAAGTTGCATTAAGGATTATGGTTAGCATTTCATTGAAAGCTTTGATATTAGCAAGTAGCCTAGAGCACATCATCGAAACGTTCATTTTCCGAGGTATAAATATTTCCAACCACTTCACAAAGTTAAATCAAATTTTAAAATCATCCTATTTAGAAGAATTTAAACAGAGGTGATGGTACTTAGTGCTTCGCTTCTTAATTAAGATGTGTATAAGAACTAGTGCTTTAGTTGTAGAATGATCGCCAGTCACACAGAAGGTTCGTGCTCGATCCTCAACCAACACACTCCTAAACCTCACCGAGTTTACCATCCAGTAGCTGGGCTGGCATAGAAAGAGGTTTAGGGATGAGGCCAGCAACCCTACTTCTCAAGAACAACACCACCGTTACAGGAACTTCACAACCTGAGATCCGATGTTCCCCTGGGAATTCAATGATTTAAAACAAGCTTAGCAAGAAATAATCTTATAAAATAGGCCAATCTAAAGCATTCAGACAGTGGAGTGTGGACTCACCAATGAACTTGAATGCGTGTCTTTTGTTGGATCACAGAATCTACAATTATTATGGCACCACTATGAATACCGTGGACGCACTGCTGAGAAATTTCATGCAGAAATCATTTTAAGAGCTGTCTGGACAATTGGCTGATAGCGCGTTAGAATTAGGGTTAAGGTTAAGGATTTGGTTAGGGCTGGGATTAGAGTTAACGCTAAAATTGATGTTAGAATTGGGATTAAGTATGGGATTCGGACAAGGGTGTTTTATCTGTGTTTTTCTTGTAAATAAATAAATGAGAAGAATGGAGGTCCTTGTTCATATGAACGAAACCATTTTGGTAAATAATAAACTTGAGAACTGATACCCTTCATTGTGATTGGGACGCACTTTTCAGTCACATTAATGGAAACTGTCACCTTTAATGTCTTTCATTATTATTATGTATATTTTTCTTGTAAGTCAACGGCTTTCTGTATAACATACACGGCTTTCTGTCACTGGTCACTTGAAGATCATCGGCGCGCTGGCACTCTGTGGTCTCCATCCTTTATGTTCGCCCGTAGAAGGTAACTTCCTAACCTTAATGAGATAATAATCACAGTTGTTGGTGAAGACCGATTCACTCAGATGAGTTGAGGCTGTGAAGTGGTTTTTATTATTTTGATTACTGTGATCGAATATTGATGAAGTATTTCATCGTTACTTCCATTTTATGCGCTCACTTTCCCTACAGACAACAAAACTTGGCGCTGTCCTCTCCGATCTAAATCCAGGCACATGGTACCAATTTCGTTTGTTAGCTGTTTCAAGTGAAGGTTTTGGAGGTTGGGGTGAGCCTAGTGAACCTATTCGTACACAAGTCCAGCTAATTCCACCATCTCGACCTCGAAATCTTACTGAAATACGCTCAAGGATATTTGACAATCATGTTGATAGTACAGTTTATTGGGATGCTCCAGAAGAAAGCTTATTTCCTCTGAAAAAGTATCAAGTAAGACTGATTGTACACTGAATGTTTTATTTTCTACGTATATGTTTTATACTCGAATAAGTTATCTTAATTGTATTTATAAAATTTTTTCAGCAGGCAGAATGGCAATTTCATAAACCCTTCCTCTAGGCTTTACTAACAATACTCATTTTTCAAAAGGATGGATACTGAACAAAGAGTACTCTTTTCGATAACTTAACCTTCATCAGGCTCTACAGTTATATATACACATTATAGTGAATGAATGAATTAGTGTTATGAACAACATTAATGTTGCTGTTTAAATAACGTCGAATCAATAATATTGATAGATTACAGCTCAGCAGCATCAACATAAAATAAGCTGAATGTCAGAAAAATTAGGAAAGATAATAATGCAAATTTATGAATTTCTAGTCTCTACCGAAGGCCATCCAGGGCAGTAGTAGTGGCTGGAATTGATCCTTCTGTACACAAAGCACTGGTTGTTTCACGCGAATTGCTACAGCCTCCGCTGTTTGCAGCATACGATACTTCGGTGATTTTGGCAGTTTATTTGGTACCCGGTAGATTATAGAAAAGGATTCTTCAACGCTGGCTTTGTGACCGGTTTTGGACCAGGTGGTATAATATCGAACTGTTGTTGGTTTTCACTACACCTTTACTTAGCCATACTGGAAGATGTTCTCGAGCAAACTCATTCAACCGACTTCAATTAGCCTACCCTGCTACAGTGCTCTTCTTTCCATCCCTACAGTATTAACATTTCACATAACATTAAGTCCATACCTCTGTGACACTTGAGGTGTTAGGCGAAACAGAACAAAACAGTTATCACCCTCGAAATCTTTTGTATCACATTAAAAGTATCCACACTCATGTTGCCTTAACTTTTGGAAAATAGATTTATCCTTCACAATCAATTACTTAATTTATTTAATTAAAAATTTGAATATGTGAACTGAACAGTCTATCGAAACAATCCTCACGAATTTAATACTCCACATTTAAATTTACATTTTTATAAAAATACGTTTTATAACAAACAGCTGGAGTTAGTACATGTGATCTAGTGAAGAGTCTTTTGAAATAATAGATTACAACACAGTTACTTCAATGGATATCAACTACAATAGCAATCACAAAAGGAACTGTATGAAAACATTGTTTAAAAGGGTCTGAACATATTGTTGCCACCCGAGGACCCAGAGGCTGCGGAAGATTTGCTCACACCATTATTGCAAAAGATTTGAAAGGAAGGAAAGGTGCCTAGTGACAGGAGGAAATGCTGGCTGCTTTGCTGAGCTACAGAAAACGGCGACGTACACCCCTGCAAGAACTGGTGTGGAATAATGTTCTTGTCCATGCCAACTGAAATACTAAGTCGCGTCATGCTGGAGAGAATAAAAGATACACTGGATGCAGAACTTCACCCTCCAGAACAAGTTAGATTCATGAAAGGCAAATGATGTGCTCATCAAATTGTAACTCTACGCACCATCGTCACAGAACAAAGCATAGAATTGTATTCAGACCTCTACTTCAACTTCATTGGCTTCGAAAAGGCCTTCGATAGATAGCGAGGTGTTCAAAGGGAGTACAGGAGTAATACGAGGCTGTCTGCCTACTATCACCGATTATATTCTTAATTTTAATGGACTGGATTACGCTTCAGACTGTGTGATGAGAGTGATAAGACAGGAATACGCTGCACTGACCAATAAGACTTCAAATTATCTTGATTTCACATGTGGATGATTTTTGTTCAATATCACAAAAAACTCTAAGACTTTCAGGGGAAAACCAAAAGACTAGCTGAAGAGGCGGGCAGAGAAGACAGGACTTCAAGTGAACATAAAGAAAAGCAACAGCAACAACAACCAGCATCAATCACCATTAATGGAAGAGATTTGAATGAGGTTACTTCCTTCACTTATCTGACCAGAGAGCGCAGTTTCAACCACAAGCCGGTTGAACAAATGAAGATGTCAAAACCAGCGAGCCAGAATAGGAAAGGCAAGATGCACCTTCATCAATCTGAAACCAGTTCGGAAATCTTTTGCACTCCTCAGCATTCCTCGGGTTTTCAGGACAAATGTGTAGTCAGTCAGTGCTTCTGCACGGGTCAGAAACTTATACTGCGTGTCACAAAAACGACCTCCTACAGGTTGCAGACTTTCATCAACAGCGGCCGGCCTTCACCGGATTCATACTGGAGATCAAATGACCGGCCGGTCAGAAAAAATTGGCGACAAGAAACTCTCCCTGGGAACGAACCAACCAAGAGCCTATTGCTTAACAAGTATGTCAGAGAAAGTGGAGATGGATTGATTGGGGATGCTCTGCGAAGGCCGTCTAATGAAACCACGCGCTGTGTCCGAATGGGAAGCGACGAGTGGGTAGTCAGTCCAAGGGTGACATGGAAGGGATCGTGCTAGGAGGAGATAAGAAATTATGGGCAGTCATCAACCCAGCTGAAGAGGAGGGCGGAAAATATAACAAAGTGGAGATGTGTTGCTGAAGCCCTATGTTCCACTCGGAACCCAAGGGAATAATAACAATAAACACACTGTAGTACTCCGGTGCTGAGGAGAAGGGAACAGAAATAACTACTGTCTTCAGAAAGAATGAATACTCATAAAATTTCATGAAAAAGTGTTTAAACTCAACTCATGACATAAGAAAATTTACTCTACCACATATTGAGAGTACCTCTGAAATAACGGCTAGAATACAATGTATTCTTCAGCAAATTTGCGGTTCTGTTAAACAGTAATGACATCAAAAACTCTAAGTTTAAAATGAGTACTTAGAATCAAGTAGAATATTTCCAGTAAGGTGAGATTAAAAACTTTGTCCACTGGAATCTTACACCAATGCTTCTTCCGATAGTCCAGAGTCAGATTGACCTCGACTCACTAAAACAAAACCACACATCGTTAGACAACATATTGTCAGCGTACACGTAACTACAAACAGAAGCACTAAAATTAGAAGCTAAGCAGGAACAAAGAAACATAATCACGATCAAATCAACATGTAATATCCGAATACATATCAGGATAATAATTACAAAGTTGAAACGTCCGAATAACTATAAATATTGTGATTAGATCGTCCAGAAAGGTTCTTTTAAACAATCTTTCCGTTACACTTGGTTTGATTAACAACTCAAGCATCAAGACATCTTTCCTGGTAAGTAAAGAATTACTGACCACATATCATTGTATTGCTTACTGGGTATCTCTCAGAATAATCGATTTCGTCTCCAATGTAGAGTTACATGAAATTCTAAATGTACATGTGATTTACGTAGAGTTTATTCTCATGGACTGAAATCCTTGTAAGCAGGAAATTCCCGTTAATGACTACAACTCATTATTAATTGTGATAACATTTCCAGTATGAAGCTCTACCTATTCTAGCTGTGCAAATGTGTATATTAATGGAAAAATTTTCTCAAATAAATCTTTAACTTTCATGTTTGTATTTCTTTCATAAAAATAGATAACATGGCGTCAATATTATGCATTCAATGGAGAGGACAGAAGTTCTTTGACCGAATATTCAGCAAATGTACCTGCAGTAAGTTAGCAAATTTTTGTGTTGTTTTAATATGCTTGACTGTTCAACAGACAGCGTTCTGACCGAAATGTTTTTATGTTAGACTATAATATGTAATTACTATTCTACGTATCTCCATATTAGTTTGTTTATTAGATATATCACACAGTGAATGAAACAGTATTATTTACTGGATGACAAGGTTTCGAACAAAATTTATTGTTCATAATCATATCAATTGTAATCACACGAATTTGAAACTTGAGTTTTACAGTTTTCTTTGTTTTCTCCTATTTGTCGTAGGGGTAGTAGAATTTTCCAACGACAAATAGGAGAAAACAAAGAAAACTGTAAAACTCAAGTTTCAAATTCGTGTGATTACAATTGATATGATTATGAACAATAAATTTTGTTCGAAACCTTGTCATCCAGTAAATAATACTGTTTCACTCACTGTGTGATATATCTAATAAACAAACTAATATGGAATTACTTACTACCACAATGCCCAAGTTTGACACATATATTAATATTCTACGTATCATTGTAACGAAATTATTTATTGACAATTCGATGTACAGATATAGGCAAAGTTTGCACTTGTCTTGTGTATTGTACTACTTCTGTCTTCCTTTCATGTTTTCTTCTTTGTTTTACAAGCATGGTTTAACTTCTATGATCTTTTTCCCTTAAACTTATTGTATATCATTAGGCTGCCAATAACTGAAGATAGGCCTTGAAATAATGTGGGCACACTTTATATTGTAATCTTGTTCAAGCTTTGACAAATATACATATTTCAGCTCTGATCATGATTTGACTTCATAAGAACCGACAGGACGTATTGGACAGCTTTTTCGTCCTTGTTGGGGACTGTTCTCTGAGTGCACCGATGACCCCGCCGGGAATCTAACCCAGGACCTTTTGGTTACAAGGCGAACTCGTATACCACTCAACCACTCAGACTAGTTGTTTATCAAAGCCAAATTAGTCGAATTCATGCATGGAACTGAGACAGTTCATAAATATCTGTCACTGAAGTAATGAAATTAAGATCACATGTAGTGAAAATTTAAATAAGTATGACACAGCTGAACAATGACAGAAACACTAATTACTAGTGAATAGAAGCCCTAGAGGTGTGTAATCTACTACTGGTATATGACAAGCACACAGCAGAGGATTGGAGGCTACTCTACCTCATAGAAACTGGAGATATGTTCAACTTCAGTTTTCCTATTCTTTGAAAACCCTATAATTTATTCACTTACATACTACACATGTTTAATATTTTACTATTCTCTTGTATTACTTGAATTATATCAGTAGTTATAAGCATACTACGAAATAAAAGACGATTAAGTGAAAAGAATTTTCCTAATCAACGAAATCACCAACAAAGGCTGAACAATCACATTTTCACTTACCGAAAATGTTGAGTAATCTTCTGTAGATACCAAGAAGTGGTTGCTAAAATAAATATAAGTGGTTTAAAAATTAAGTAATAGTCAGAGATGCAATGGAAGAAAGGTCATGGGATTTGATAAGGTTAATATCATTATGGAATAAGGAATAAGCTAGTTGAGTGTCCACTTTACAAAGTGTGAAGAGCGTTAAAAAATACACAAAAAGAACGATTAAGAGTTAAAGTAGCGAATTAATAATTAAAAATATAAGCGGACGATTAGGGAAGTAATTCAGACCACGGTAGAATGAATATGAGACCAAATAAAGCCAAAACTCCTTGCGCCATTCGGTTCGTTTAAAAAATCTTAAAGGACGACCACGCTGACCTGCTGACTTGAAGAAAAAGTTACATCATCAGTTATGAGTAATCGAATGCCAGAGTATTCGGTTAAACAGAGCCAAATACGCCATCGGTGATGCTGTCTGTATGCATTAAAACTCGATAGATAGTCCCTATATATAAATAAAGAATGTTTATCATAAATGATAAGAGGTATGTGTAAATGAATAATGTATATTACAAATGAAGTATTAAAATCTACACTGATTACAATAGTCTTTCAAGCACCGACCTGGTTTTCAGAACCACCTGTTTCCATAAGGCTACTGAACTAGAGCTCTCTGAATTTCATTGAATTCAAAAATCAGGAAAATGAAGGTTATTTCCATTTAGTTTGTTTATTTAGATATGCATTTTATTTGGTACCTTAAATATTATTTCACTATTAAATATCCCCTGTTATTTTTTCAGGATAAAACCATGTATTTGATTCAGAATCTAAAGCCAGGAACACCATACAAAATTGAAGTAAGTTGTGCTAATAATTCACACCGAAATTCATTTTACCACTTTTTGAACAGGCGACAGAATTTGTTGACTGATTTTGAATTTTCGTGCAGTTTCAATAGGAATGAAAAAAATAATAATAAACTAGTTAATCAAATAGAGCTAAATGTGTTCACTAGATGGGCTGTTTGAACGACTTTGAGCTCGCTTCCAGTTGATTTCGACTAGGAACAACGCTCACGGTTGATGTGTGGCCATCTGTTCTGATAGGTCTGACTTTCGACCACACTATCTGCTGACCCTCTTTAGCCTGGCTCACCTAACCTGTTGGACACTGCCCAGCTGGTAAAGGCAGAATACAGCACTTGTGGCTACTGGAAGGTGTATCTGTTAACGATGATCTAAAGAGAGTGCAGTTGCACCACAAAAAAGCCGTCGAGTTCTTCTCCCTTGAAAATTGAATAGTCATACGAGTGTTTCAGTCTATGCAAGCATAAAAATTGATCACTGAAGGTTCGACTGAGTTGACGAACTTCTTTGATCCCCTAGAAAGTTATTCAATCTGAACTCGATTTAAATGTCTATGTATCCTTGATGTTGACTAAGAATCCAATAATGAAAAAGCCAAAAGAAATAAAATGAAGCTATATCAATTATTTTACTCCGTAAATCAGCATACGCTAATAATATCATGCAATGGTAAGAAACAACAACAAGGTTTTGATGCAAATATGTTGTGAACAGATGTTTCTGATGAAAAGGCTATCAGTGCAGTTTCTAAGGTCTGACAAATGACTGAAGTGAAACATGTGAGTACAAAGTCGTATGAATGTTAAAACGAAGATTATTCAGTTGTAATTAGCATCAAACCTAATGCTTCAGTACTTACTGGTTAACGAAAACACAGACCAATGATTTATCGGTTCCAGGATTTCATCGTGAGCTAACATAGGTTAAAGAACTATTGAAAAACCTGGGAGTACTGGACAGTCGTTTCGTTTGAGTTTGGGACTCCTCACCAGGGCGCACCTAGTGAGGTTCAAACCCAGGACCTTCTGGTTACAAGACGACCTCATAAACTAGGATAAAACGCCTATCCAGTACTCCCAGGTTTCCCAGTGGTTCTCTAACCGATGTCAGCTCATCATGGAATCCTGTAAGAAATCAAATCTCTGAGAACCAACACTTGAATACCAATCTGATGCTCACTAGCGACTGGCCCTATTCAGGTAAGTACTTACCTGGTTTCTAGTGCGAAGCCGTAACCAGTAAGGTACAGAAGGTCGGATATAAGGATAAATACTCGCCAGCCATGACACTGGCTAGTGGTCGCACTATACCGTGAATTGGTGGAAGCTGGAACTCATGGGCTGGCCACTGCATCAAGTCTCAGTGGCTTAATGGTCTGCAAGGTCACCTTGTAACCAAAAAGCCCTGATTTTGAACTTCTGAAGCATCCCAAACTAGGGTGATGAAACAGCTATCCAGTACTCCCAGCCAGGTTTCCAAACAATGCTAGCTCATGATGGAATCCTGTAACCAGTTAATTCCCTGCAAACCAACACTTAAATGAAATACCGTTTATTGCCCAATCTGTGACCTGACACACTGTACGCTATCATACCAAGACAAAGTAAGGATGGTCACAGATTTACAAATTCAGTTATTTCGATCCAGACATATACATTTTAGTTCAGTATGGTTTTTTTAAAGAGTGCCATTTGAATACTATGCACCCCACAGTATCTTTTTTTCGACAAGAAAGAACCAGGTATTTAACGGAAAGAGTTACTCTAATGCAAGGATTTTTCATTTCAAATGCGACAGAAATACTTGCAACAAAAAACGACAGAATATCTGTCTGTTAGTCAAAGTAAGGCTGAGCAATAAAGATGTTTCATGAATACAGCCAAGCAGGAAAATCACGAGATGGCCTTATTGTATTGACTTGTGAGAAGGAAAATGCCGCTTACGGGGAAAATGAATAAGACCTCCAGTTAAACGCTTAGTTTCAGACACAGAATGAATGTGAGAAGAGAAATACAGAAGTTCTAATTTACCAGAACTAAAGCAAATGTCACAACTGCACCTGAAAAATCGAAAAGCTATGGAAATACCAAATGGAAACAGTAAAGTTGTTGATATAACACGATTCGAGGCAATCGACAGGAAGTCTTGCTGGACCTAGGTTTCGTGCCAGTTGGCACTCACCAATTGCCAAGGCATACCTGCAGCCTTGCAGGAACTCATGCCCTAAGTGACTTCAGCGACTCAGGGATTGACTTGCTACCAGGGAGGGGATAATCTCGTTGACTTGGAATATGCAGACGATATAGTCCTTCTAGGCGAAGACGCCGACGAAATGCAGAGTCTTCTGAATACCTTGAGCTGTAATCTACGAATGTTTGGCATGCGATTTGCTCCCGCCAAATGTAAGATGATGTTACAGGACTGGAATACATCGACGCCTTGTTTAAAAATAGGAAGTGAAGTGGTAGAACACGTTGACCACTTCACTTATTTGGGAAGTACCATCAGCCAGTGCCAACACGTTGATCTCTGACGAAATCTCAGCACGAATACAGGGGGTTCGTTTCGCATTTGCCAGTTTACGCCGACTCTGGCGTAGACGAGATGTTCGACTATCTACCAAAGGGCGTGTGTTCTGCTCATCAGTCCGCTCCGTCCTCCTTTATGGTTGTGAGACCTGGCCACTGAGAGTGGAAAACATGGAAATGGTAGCTAGCTGTCTTTGATCATAGGTGCCTGCGTTCTATTTCCCGTGTAAAGTGGCATAATAAGGTGAGCAACATGGAGGTTAGGCGTCGAGTTCTAGGTAAACAGGGGAAATCAATCGACGAAGTCGTGAAGCTACAAAGACTGAGATGGTTAGGACATGTGTTACGTATGCCAAGCTATCGCCTCCCTCGACGAGCTATGTTAGCGGATATAGGGTCAGGCTGGAAAAGAGCTAGCGGCGGTCAAACAAAAACTTGGCACCAGTCAATGAAATCCACAACAGTTGGTCTAAGTCACGTAGGAAGGTGTAGACTTCCAGGCTGGGGTCCTCGGGACGGTAAAAATCTATGGTTGGAAACAATTGGTGACATGGCTCAAAACCGTTCTCAGTGGCGCAGATGCATCCACTCCTTGTGACTTATGATCTCCAATGAAACTGTTTTGTTCTTCGTTATTACTCCTCCTTTGTCTCACACCTCTGCTCACTGTTTCTATTATGCTTTTCTTGTACTTTCTTCTCTTGCTTCGCGTGCTACACGGAGTGTGGCGACTTAAACTTCCGCACATTTGTGCAAAGTTCTATGTCGAAAACAGACAGACAGACAGACATGTCCATTCTGAGTCTAGAGCATGCATCACCCAGTGCTGCAGTCAGAGACATTACCACTGATCTATTCGGACTCGCAACTGACCTCCTGTAAGAATGTATTAAATACTTTTGATTGGACAGTAGTTAGTAACTAGTGTTAAGTGTCTAGTCGTTGGCTTGGTGCCGACTGAATTCCATCAGTCAAGTCGTGCCTAAATTACTAAACCAAAGCAAAATGTTAGAAATATTTATGAAAATGTCACATAAGAGAAATTCACCTAGTATATTACGCAACATCAAGTTCAATGTAGAACATATACGTCTTTAAATCACTCCATTAAATGACCTTGTATAATGTTTACTCTGCATATTTGTTGGTTTATTCGTATGTGTATACTTTTTTCGTCTATGTTGTTTTAATTAGGTGAAAGCAGTCTCACTGTTTGAAGGAAAAGAACTTAAAAGTCATCCAAACACTTTGTACATATCTACAATACAAATTCCTACTCAGCATACAGAAACAGGTGAGTTATCAGGATCTACACTTCCTTAAATTTGGATTACTACTTTTACTTCAAGTTTACTAAATTAGTTTTCCCAATTATCCAGGCTGTTAGTGTAAGGGACACTCGAACATGGATCTAATAGTCAGACTTAGTGTTTTTGAAAACATTCAGGCTGATAGGCAGTCAAATGTTTCCCTCTTTCATGTCTATCACATCTTTGACATGCTGTCGCATTTACGCAGACATTGCTTATCTATTTACGTCATCTTGGGTAAGATTTAAGTGTCACTAGGAAAATTTCCTCACAAAAGGATATTTCTGTATTAATATTAACTAAAAAAAGTAATGGAGTTAATTAACCATTCATAAATCACCCTGGTCCATTATATTTCACTCAATATTACAGTTGAAGGAGTTGAAAGATGTTGACAGTTACTCAAGACACTCTGTGTACAGACGCAAATGTTTATCCTGTAACTCCTAAAGCACCTGTCCCACTGAAATCAGAGACAAACCAAAAAACACCAAATTTAGCTGTCCAAAATAAGAGATACATTATTTTAGGATCAGAAATGTAGAGCGATAATGACTGCTTAACTAGCTAGGGTTCGCGCACTAGCTACCTGACGTAGCATGACAGTGTGTCAAATGGTATGGAAGCCTGACCGCATACCTTCAGTTTAACGAGTGGATATAAACCCTAAGGGACTGTAATGACCAAAATTGATGTGTTGCGGTCTGAACACAGGGAACTTATCTTTGCATCCTTCTGGATAGCTGTCCGAAACTTCCTTGAGAGACGCACAGTCACAAAACGCCCTAAAGACAGCAAAAAGACAATTGTTTATGATTAGATTGTATGTGTGGTTCTACTCAACAAGTAACAAAATCTTCATACATTTATTTCCCTTTAGAAATTTGAATAAAGCAAGCACAACAGTGGTTTGTGCAGAACAAGGTGGTTGGCTTCTCATCAACTGCTAACAACCTATTTGAGTTACTATTAAGTTCATATACAAAAAACTTTTAACATACTTGCAAATTTAACATGATGTCAGTAAGCAGGAGGTTCTGGACTTAGTGAAAAGTGCTCGAAAAATCACGCTTATATAGTTTTTGCACAGGGACTTCACGTTGTGCTTGCTTTATTCAAAACAATGAAATCAAAACCTCAAAATTACCTTGACAATACCGTTAGTCAGCTATACAGTCACTGTAGTTGTCTAAGCACAATAAAGCACAGCAGAAATAAAATTAATTAACCAAAGCCCAACTGTAAGAAGTACCTTACAATCAAGCAGAACATTCACAGCAAGGTGGGATGAAAACCACTCTCTCAGCGAGAATCACACACCAACAATTGCCGCTGACAGTCCAATGTCAGAAGGACTTTCATTCACTTAAAGAAAACGACATCATAAAACATTACACTATCAATGTACATGCAATCACAAAGAGAAGCATTAAAATTAGAAAATAAACAGAACCAAAGACAAATAATAAGGATCAAATAAATATATGATATGCAAATGTCAGAACAATGATATACAGTCTAGGATAAATGCGGATAATGACTTCAGAGTTAGTTGAAATATCCAAGTAAGTAACTATATTGTAACTAGATCGTTCAGGAAGGATTTTCCAAATAATCAGTCTGTTACACCCGTGGACCAAAACCCCTCCAATAGTGAACAAAGAATTGTGCAAATAAATAATTTTGGAGGGAATTGGATGGAGTATTTCATCATGAGCTGATATCATTTAGAGAACCATTGGAAAACCTGGGAGTAGTGGACCACCAGCTGCTTCGTTATAGTTTGGGACTCTTCATCAGCACGTACCCATCGGGGTTCGAATCCAGGACATTCTGGTTACAAGGCGAGCCAGCTCGTAGACTATTAAGCCACTGGGACCCGATGAAATGGCCAGCCCATGAATTCTAACTTCTGCCAATTCCAATGGTTCTCTACCTGATATCAGCGCATGATGAAATCCTCCATCTAATCCAACTAAATCCCTAGGCAAACCAATATTTGGGGGAATTATTTACCTATGCAAAGTAATTCCTCAAGGATATCTAAGTGCCAGTGTTATAGTTCTCTAACTTAAGTCGAGTTAAACCTGAAAATAGAAACCATTAATTCTCCCTTAGTTACTAGATGAAAAACAACAATGATAATAATAAGAGAAGTATATTTGCGAAGTGTTAGTAGTTTATTAAGGAACTTCATTACCCCTCCCTCCTGTAGTTCTAATCCTGTAAGTATAGAATTACCAGATACCTACAATCGAACTTTAATAACAGTGAACGAAATGAAACGCTTAGAGATACCTTTAAGAATGACAAACTAAAAGTGTATGCATGCATTATAAAAGAGTAACTGTTAATTTGCTTGTTTTGGTTTCTCCTTAAATTTCAGTATTAACCCCTTTCACATCATCATCGCCGAATGACAGTTGTATATGTGGAGATTCTAGACGAGATTATTTAACCGTCAGAGAACAATATTATGAGAATGAACAACTTCATGCAATTTTATCTTTAAATGTTAAAATAAGTGAGTACAAATCATTTAGTTTGTCTGTTGTTTTTTTCCGTCAATATATATTGTATAAAAATATTTTTGCGAATAAGAAGTAAAGTAATATCCAGATCATGTCAAAGGTATATGTACTACTGATGAGTGGTTGTATACCAGTACACGTGGCAACCAGTAGTGCTTCCTAGCCAAACTGACGTGATCAAGACACCGGACGGCCATTTTGGTCATTTGGGGCCCTCTCACCAACAGTGTACCCAGTATGAGTGAGTTCAGAGAGTATACTGTGATGAAATTCAACCTCTGACTGTGCAAAAACTGAAAATTAATTTGGGAATTAAGAATTTTATTTATTGGATTATCAGTTTGGAAAGCTAGCTATCCAAAAACTGGGTGGTTTGAACTGTTTCAGCTTACAGAGCTGAGTCATACCGAGTACACCGATGGTGTGCTCGGGGCCAAACAAGTGAAACGGCCGTCTGGTGTCTTCATTACTTCGATATTCTGGCTATCAAGCACTGCTGGTTAACATTAGTAGTATGCAACTACCCATTTCAGACAATCAGTAGTATATAGTTTTTATGCAAATATACCTGCTTACCTGATTACCATTTATGGTGTCAAGCAGATCCATATACTCTGATCTGAATAATTTGGTTCCCAGAGAAAACTCTGGTGAAAATTTCACCCCCCCCCTCAAACTGCTTACATTGCATATTACCAATTAATTTGTAAAGTGTGAATGCGATTCGTGTCAAAGATCATTAGAAATAAGAAAGTGGTATTTTTTAATTCCTTGTCATGAATGATCTCCCAGCTGGATATCTCCTTAGTAGTTAGTTATATTCTGCTAAATGGATGCATATTTCACATAGTTTTTTGACGTGAGCACAGCTAAAATCTCTAGACGGGATAAAATAGTCGTGCTTCAGTACTCCATGACTTTCATCTGTTGTTGTTTCTTGATAAAAACATGTGAAATCAATTACAAAATTACAAAGCCTCAAAGATGACTGACAATGCGTCGGTGGTATAGCGGTTAGGACGCTCGCCGACCATGCACATGGTCCGGGGTTCGATTTCCGGCCGACGCACTCCTTTACCTCGCTAAGCCAGAAGTAATGATGATAAAGAGGAAAGGGTGGGCATGAGGCTAGCAACCCCATCCTGTAAAATAAACACTGCTAGAGAGACTTCAAGCCACTAGCTTGAGGCCCTATGTTCCACTGGGAACGTGAAGGAAAAACAACAAAAAACAAAAAAGATGACTGACGACATTATATTGTATTAAGGGAATTGAAGCTAACCGCTTGTCTCTAGGAGATAACAATAGGCAAAGCGATTTATATATTATTTCAGGGAGTTCACCTTTCAGAATTTCTACAATTGAAGCAGGATAAAAAGGATCCATCAATTGTACATAAAATATAAAATCAATAATGATGAAACACCATGCTTAGTGTTTAAATCAGTTGTGCTCCGTTTACGAATTTAGACAAAACAATGAGAAGACGCATTCAAACGTGTAATGCATATGCGCAACACACTTCAAGACATTCTGATCACGCACATACTTGTCATACACATTTATATAGAAGGCAACAGGGAATATAGAATTACAATTTTTTGTCAATATAAAGTCAAAATTCTCAAGTATTGGTTTCTAGGGATTTTGTTTGATTAGTTGGAGGATTGCATCATGAGCTGAGATTAGTTGGAGAACCATTGGAGAACCAGCTGGGAGTACTGAACAGCTCTTTCTTCCCACTGTGGGACTCTTCATTCAGCAGTACGTACCCACCACCAGGGTCCCAACTTAGGACCTTCTGGTTGCAAGGCTAGCCGGCTCGTAGACCACTAAGCCACTGAAACCCGATCTAATGGCGGGCTTATGAATTCTAACTTCTGCCAGTTCATGACATAGCGCGACCACTTTGCAGTGTCTTCTTCGATGAGTTACTGTCTTCACCTTCAAAATGTTTGCAGGTGTTGGTCACAGATAAGAGGTGCGTGAATGGTGTAAATAAATAAGGTGAGAATAAAATAGGGGTGAAAATCGCATGAAGTAAAATGACGCTTGATTCAAGAAATTAGATTACCAAGACAGGTTCATTGTAATGATGAATAATTTTGGAACACAGTAAACACGTTTCAGACTTTTCTTGACTTTTTAACGCTTCAAAGAATTTAAGTACCTGGTCAAAACCTGGCTTACATATGGGATTACGGGCATTATTGGTGGAATCAACTTTGTGACCCATCTCTATGATGTGCTTTCTGATAAATGATGCCGGACATCTGTTTTCAGGATTAACTTTGTCCAGTGATTTTATTTGTTCATGTAACCCCTGTCCGGCAGAGACCGATGGGTCCTCCCTATATAGATGTGACGACACATACACGTAAACTGGTAAACACAGTGAGATATGACACTATCGTTTGGTTGCGATGAGGGTTTGCAGGACAACATAAATCTCATTTTCTTAATGGAAATAAGTTTAGCTGCATAGTAAGTGTTATTAAGTGCAGCCCTGAGTCTTGATTTATTCATCAGACTTTGGTTATCAACCTTGAACAATGAGGATATATACATATATAATAATAACATATATTATATATTCAATTACTTAACATTTTATCTAGATAAAGAACAATTCAATGTAACTATTCCGATAACAGATTTAATCTACAGTGTTGAATGGACTCCAAAAGTTTGTATTGAAACTCAGAATCAAACGAGTACAGAATTTCTTGGAACACAAAGAAAAGGAGTATCAGTAAGTGGTCTGTTGAACTCAATCACCCAGACATTCACTCTTTCAAATTGATTTTTTTTTTCAAAACCTTTCAATTGACTGATTTATGACAATTACAAAATTATTCTGTTTCTTGTGCTGATAAAAGTAATATATACATAACCTCGTGATAAATGTGATAAATTTATCCATAACAATGAGTTCCGGCAAAGTCTCATTTATACTGCAGTGAAAACTCGTTAATTTATTAAAACAATTAGTCGCTTTGACAAATTTGAATAAGGCATTAAGAAGACAAATTTCGCGAGATGATATCATGATGGAAGCACTTTGGATTAATCGCATACAGCCTAAACTGTGTGTACAAAAATCAATAGACTTCAATCTTCGCCTACCCTGGACTACATGACCTATCTAAATATGATTGGTCATTAGTATGTACTTTTGTTTTTATTTAACTGAGTAATTTTCATGAACTTTATTTTATCATTGTTAACCATGTTAGCTGTAAAGCGGTTGTAAAGAAACTACGAAATGATATGATCTCGCGAAATTTGTCTCGTTAATTTATGTTGGATTCGTTTAGGGTATCCTGTTGTTGTGATCTCTAAATTGGTTGTTGGAAAGTGACTAATTTTATGCTGATCAATTCTTGGGGTTATTGACGTTTAGCCATTCGAAAAGCAAATAAACTACATGTCAGTGCAACGCTATTCACTGTGTTTTGTCTACGTTCAGTTCTTTTAGGTGGCTTCAATGTTTCCAATAAACCTCAGTTGCTTTTATTCACGCTAAAGAACCATGAATAAATACGCTGAGTAATTTGGTGGACGGTAACTAACAGTGGAATCCAGGATGCGCATTTCTCCCAACTAGAGATCCGTTGGCTGTATTTATCTTCATTTCCCAGTTAGTGATAGTGTTTCGATGGAGACTTTAAACCAGCACCCATCGTTTCGAACGCTAAAACATTATCCACTTGGTCGTTCGGTGTACAGAAAAATTACTTGGAGTCAATCTTCAGACATCGTCGAAATTTCTGTACTACGAACCGACATGTTAACAGATGCCCAATATTTCGATCCAGTCAGTTAACCAGAAAACCCAAATTGACTTTAGAGCAAATAATAATCTGTGAACACTGCCCAGTGTACCGATATTATCTCAAGAGACTAAAAAGCGAAAACCAGTCCAAACTCGGCAGCCTAAGTGTAGTTTTTTTGGAAGTGGTTTTCCACAGTTTAAGTGATCTTTTATTCTGATTTGATGACTGGAGGAAAATCAGTACTAAAGGTTCTTCCAATAAGGAAATGATAGTGCTAAGGTATTTCTTACTTACCATGAATTTCGATTTATTTCAGACAATAGTACTTTCGAATATATACCTCAAATGACACTGAAAATGGTCGCTGACAAATACTGAAGTCAAAATAATCCTAGAAAATAACCTTTAATTATACAGTCAGCAGAAGTCATACAACATTTCATTCTGTCAGAAGAAGAGGGACTGACTTAGATTTCTGATCTCAGGTGAACAGCGTACACCACTAGCGACTAAAAAGGCCATTAGGTATTTAGGTCACTTCTGTTTAACTAGCTATCTTGGTGGTTTATATCTTTTCATATCAGTCAATCAGGTACATGGTTGATGAGTCCGGCTATATACGAATGAAACTGCTGTTAGTAGGGCAAGTGGGATATCGTTAGACCAACTGGTGAACACTATTGTAGATAGACATATAATGTCATGTAAGAAACTAGCGAATACAATATTGTCGGACCCCGAGCATCCTCTCTATACGCATCTATCTCCTTGCATTTCATCTGGAAGAACTAGAAGCAGCTATAGGAGGCTATATGCTAGGACTACCAAATACAAAAAGTCCACAATACCATATCTGGCACAGGTGTTATGTGATGAGAAATCCGTTAGGTATGACACTATAAACTTACTGCGGCACTCTAACAAATGGTCCCATTAGTTTTTGTTTTCCTTTCCTCGTTACTACTACACTGTTGTTCTCATCTACAACCACACATCAACTTTATATTTCAAATCCTGTGGTGTATTGTTTGAAATGAAATACTCTACGCTGTTTTTTTTTTCTTAATTTTTAATATTTATTTATTTTATTTATTTATAACTTATTTATTTTATTTTTATTTATTTTTGATTTTTAAAAATCTTATATAATTTATGAGGTAATTAGATGCAATATACTGTAATGCACGCTGAAAATTCCATACCTGTACCACAAATACTGTTTGGAATAAAGCTATTATTATTATTATTATTATTATTATTATTATTATTGATCGCTTCAGTACGGCTAGGAAGCCCTACTGATTAATATGAGTGGTATGCGACTACTCATATTACTCAATCAGTAGTACATAAGGCCATTCGTTTATGCCTAATTTTTTTCATGATTAACACTTATGGTGTCAGGCAGTTCACATAGTGTTGGTATCAGATGGTGGGAGGCAATCGGCCACAGGAAGCCTCACCTGACCTAGGTTTCGTGCTAGTTGGCACTCGTCAGAAAGGCTTATCTGCAACCTCAAAGGAACTCATGTCCCTTCTGAGATTCGAACCTGCGTCACCCAGTGCTGCAGTCAGAGACGTTACCACTGAGCTATTCGGGCTCGTAATTGACTTCCTGTAGGACTGTATTGGGTATTTTTGATTGCATACTAGTCAGTAACTAAAGTGATGTGTCTAGTCCTATCTTTACTGCAGACGTCTCTGACTGCAGCACTGGGTGACGCAGGTTCGAATCTCAGAAGGGACATGAGTTCCTTCAAGGTTGCAGATGATGAGTGCCAACTAGCACGAGACCTAGGTCAGGTGAGGCTTCCTGTGGCCGATTGCCTCCAACCATCTAATACCAACATTTCTCAGTGAACCGTAATGGCGAGCCACTGCAAGCTTGACTGATAGAATTCAGTCTGCAGTGAAGATAGGACTAGACACATTACACTAGTTACTGACTAGTGTGCAATCAAAAAAAGTTCACATAGTGTCATCTGAATAATTCCATTGCCTAAAGGAAACTTTGAACTGTGCAATTTGTCAATTGCCAATTTTGATTAAATAATACTAGTTTAACTCTTAAGTGTGCGTCGGTGGCACAGTGGTTAGGACTCTCGCCGACCATGCACATGGTCCGGGGTTCGAGCCCACGCCGGCGCACACCTGATATCTATGGTTGGCCTGCAAAACTTGAACTACCGATATCCATGCTGAAAGTTCCATACTTGTACCAAAAATACAGTGTGGAATCAAGCTGTAAATCAAAAATAAAAAAATAATACTAGTTTAACTCTTAAGTGGACTGTAAACCCTCCCTTGAAAATGAATGAAAATCTAAAAATTAAGCTAGGACTTCAATTTGAACGATTTTAGTTATCCAACAGTCATAATATACTACTACTCATAACACGTCACAGTACCATTTAAAAGTCATCCTGTGTTTCTTTTGCTTTTCTTTTTTCAGGAATATGAATTACGCAATATACTTTTAAGTGATTTACAATTCCAGTGTCATTATGAAGTTAGTCTTTACGTCAAATCATTTCATAGTAACAACAACCAATCAAGACAAAATTTACAACCACTAATCAAATGGACTACATGTTTTTGTACACCAACCTGTCGAAATATTATCATCAAAGATGGTTTGCCGCCAAAACACTGTTATGCCACAAGTAAGTTAAAATTCATTTGCTTATTGTTTGAATTTACAAAATTCTGACGAAAAAACAGTCATTCAGTCATTTTAAATTTTCACTCGTAAGAAAGTAGAAAATCAAATAGAGATCAAGATATGCACATAGTGTTAATACGACTTAAACGATTCAAAATATACATATATAGAAGCATATACTACTAAGTGACTGAGATGAGTAGTTTACTACCGCCCATATCTAGCAACAGTGCTTACCAGCCAAATCATGGTGGTCCAAACACTGGACGGTCGTTTCGATCATTTCGGGCAGAGCTCATCATCGGTGTAGCCGGTTTGACTCAGATCACAGAGTTGAATCAGTCCAAACCACCCCGTTATTCTGGCTAGCTACTCGGGTGAACTGACAACACAATAAGAAGAAGTTAACAGCATGTATATTGGTTAGCAGTTTTCAATCTATACAGTTCGAGGGGTGACATTTTCACCTGAATTTCCTTTGGAAACCGAAATTATTTAGATCACAGTATATTATCAGCTTAGTACGATGATTGGTAATCAAGATAGCAGGTATAAGTATGTGAAACTCTATACTACTGATTGGCTGAGATGAGTAGTCAATAGAAACGTAGATTTATAAAGTAGATTAGGTCTTTCATTGAAATTAACCGTCAGGAGATTAATGGGGTGGAAGAAGAAGAAGAGGCTTAACCAAAGATATCTTTCACGTGGTTTTACCCTCAAAAGCTGTACAATCATATTTTTTATACATACGTTCACATAGTGATAATTTTAATTTAATTTAACATGGTGATGTAAGGATATGAAAAGAGACAATAATTTTCAACTGGATACTAAGGTCTGAAGGCGTTAATATACAGACAGGGAGGAGCAGAGAAGAAAAACAAAATGGGATAAGAAAATAGTTGCTCAGTAAGCTAAACAGATTTTGGTTGGATGGAGGAGTTGATCATGCACTGACATCAGCAGGCTGAAGATGAGGCAGTAACTCATCAAAGAAGACATTGCGAAGTGGTCGCACTATCCCGTGAGTTGGCAGAAGGTGGAATTCATGGGCTGGCCATCGGATCGGGTCCCAGTGGCTTAATAGTTTTCGAGCTAGCTCGCGTTGTAACCAGGAGGTCCTGGGTTCGAGCCCTGGCGTTGGTTGCATACTGTGAAGAGTCCCAAACTAGGACGAAGCAGATGTTCAGTAATCTCTGGTTTTCCACTGGTTGTCTAATCAATGTCAGCTCATGATGAACTCCTCCATCCAATCAAACAAAATCCCTACACAACCAATACTTGTAAACAGATTTTAACGAATACAAGTGTGAATAGGATGACTTTTGAAATAAGTTGAAATAATAGTTTCTATAAGAGAAAATGTAAAACTAAGGAGACAAAGAACCAGATCCACTGTAAATGTAGAAGTTGGACTAATTTCTTTTAAACGCAGCCCTGGTTTTTTGATGCATATGGTGGAGGTCTTCCACAGTATAAAGAAGTTGGAAATACACTACCTTTGGTAGACTTTTGATTCATTTTGTTAATCACTCTGAATTATGAGTCAGTTGAGATTCTGTGACAGGTGCTGAAGAGGCGTTCAGTTTGTAATTTTATTGCTTCCGACTGAGCCGATTTCATCCGTTCGGAGTAATCCTGGTGGTGTTTTCTAACACATTTTGAAGGGACACGCATAAAACTACTTATGTACTTAGCTCCACAGGCACAGGTGAATTGATATGTGTACATTGGAGAGACCGTATAAGGAAGTTCGTCCTTTGAACTGCTCAGAAGCAACGGGGCAGCTAGAGAATCACACTTTCAGAGTTACTGAAGGGAAGGTTTTTTCAAGGGAACTAGAGATTCTGAAGTCTACGTTCGTATACGGTATTTTCTTTAGCACTGAACTGCATTCTTTGTAAATCAAAGCCAAAAAGAAAAGAATGTGAATACTGCAAGGAAACAACCACTTTGTTTGCTCAATGGCTGAAACAGAGATGTAGATGAGATCATGGGGCCTGGACAGTTTTGATGGTGGTGCATAAGTTAAGCAATGATGATTCATGCCACGCAACCAATCTGATGACATTCTGCATCTATTTCTACGACGAAATTGGTAGTGAATCTAGGATAAGAAACTAAAAGATATCTAAATCTCCGCTTATAAGTGTAAATGATAGTAATATACAAGGCTATTCTCCTTGTACTCATTAAGAAACAATTTATATTTGTAAAATTCCCATATACACATTTAGGCGATAAACAAAAAATTTACTGAAGAAACGCACTCCTTTTCACCTGGTTCTTCGTAATCCACTCTACACTAATATATCGTTTTTTACATGAGCATTATACCAGTTATGTGGTTATTTCAGTCAGTGAGAATTATCCTTTTAGGTACAATGGTGTATGGGTGAAAATAAGAGACCAAAAGTCATCAAAAAAACACTTGGCTAGCAAATGTTACCGGTGGCTTGGACATGTGCTCCGAATGTCACCCCAGAGGCTTCCGTACAGGTCTCTGTTCGCTACCCCTGGGACGGAATGGAAAAGGCGGAGAGGTGGTCAGTCCATGACGTGGCGTCGTGGGATGAAGGATTTTTGTGCTAGATTAGCATCGGTTGGTGTGTCACGACTCCCTGGTTGGGGTCCGAGAGATAGCTCAAATCGATGGCTCGAAACGTTATCGGATATGGCCAAGAATCGTAATCAGTGGCGAATGTGTTGTGATTTCCTTCTTTCTTCCCTTCCCGATGATAGCTAACGAACACTGTTTGAACTTGTTAAGCATGACTGTTTTCCTTCCAGATGAAGTTCTTTATCCGTTCTCTACTTATATATTTTTTTTTCTTTTCCTTCCTTCCTTTTTTTTGATCTATGTTGTTTTATTATTATTGTGTGGCGCATCTTTCTTGGTGCCATATTGTACCAAGTTTTTTATGCGTTTAAATAAATAATAAATAAATGTTAGAGACAAGATATCCGCATGTTTAGGGAGAAGTGAAAATAATTAGTTACAGAATTCAAGATCACTTATTTCTAAGGGGTTAGCAACAAGTTGTTACATAATCAATAAAGTTGTCAAATATCGATGACCAGAAAGAATAGATTGACTAGGCAGAATTACGTAAGCATACGAAGATACAAAAAACAGGTTAGTTGAACTAGCCAAAATTGTTATCATAATAGAGTAACAAAGTCAAATGAAAGTTACAGAGGAAGGGGAAAATCGTTTGCAAAAGGGGACACATATTATGTAGTTAACCATGGCAAAGGAAGGGGCCGTACAAATTTCTTTTGAACCCCTAAAGATTTGGCTTGTTCAGATGAATTCCGATTGCCTCTGTCGTATGTAAAGTCGTACTCGTGGAGTAAGTAAAAGGTTGGATGATATCCAGTGTCGACAAAATGAGCTAGTATTGACCTGAGTATGGCTTTATTTGGACCTTAGCTAAACCAAGATGGGAGGTGTTCGGAAATTCGACAATGACACTGCTTCACCGTTCGCTCAATATAACTAGCTCCACAGGAGCAGTTAAAGTGGTAAATAAATATGCATTGAAGATGCGAAGCTAGGCAGTTTATCTTTATTTCTTGAACTTAGTATTGGTTGGTTAGTGAATAAACAACATAACTTACGTGTATTAAAAGTCCTTCAGGAGGCGCTTCTCAGACCTAAAATTAAAGATTCTTATTGACTAAAATAACCACATGATTGGTATAAATTTTATGTTAAAAACTGTATATTACTGTAGAGCTGATGATGAGGAACTTCAATCAATTTGTTGTTTTTTTTTCTTTTCGTGTCTGACCTGTTCTAAAAAAGCTTAACGAAGAAGAGAAACTTCTAATATGCATTTTACCTTTTTTCTTTTAATTCAATATCGTTTATTTCTACGAAGAAACATTTGGTTATTTTTTATTCCTTCAGGTTCGAAGTCTTGAAGTCTCCATAGCCACTTTGTTGTCTTTCTACGAGGTGGGGTTATTAGCCTTACACTCAGCTCCCCCTCTTTTCGGAGCTTAATATCAAATAGTGAACTGAACGAATTTTAGGAATGAATCAGCCGGAAATCGAACCCGGACCGTGTGAGCATGTGGCTGAAAAAACATTTTGTCACCTTCATTAAAGTGACTACATTCACAAGATTTTGTTACATTATTATATCTAGTTTTCAGTTGTTACCTTCCGGGTTCTTCGGATTTCTTAAAATGAAAATAATTTAATCAGATAGTCTGGTAAAACAATTCAATTTCTGTAAGTAAATTTTGGAGGAGGAAGATTTCATCATGAGCTGACATTGGTTAGAGAACCTTTTGAAAACCTGACACTGCTGGATAGCTGTTTCGTCCCAGTTTGTGGCTGTTCATCAGCAGGCACCCACCGGGGCTCGAACCCAGGAACTTCTAGGATGTTCAGTACTCTCAGATTTCCCATTGGTTCTCTAAATGATGTCAGCTCATGATGAAATCCTCTAACCAATCAAACTAAATCCACACAAAAATCAATACTTGAAAACTCATGATTAGTTTAAAAATTTTCTTTTAATTTTTTCTCTAGCTCCTTCCTCAGTTCTCCAACCAGTTGAACTGGCATACACTCTACTGACAAGTGAAAATCTTGAAGAACTTCATCGTTTAAAGATGAAAAATATCGATGAATTGATAGTTGTCGCTGAGGCTAATATACCGCCTTTATCTAAAAAACAAACCAACCCAAATCCAGTGTTGAATACGGTAAATTATACTGCAATTGTTACCTGGCATCCTGTTGCTGCTTCTATACATTCAAGAAGTGAAACAAGACGTGCATCAAGAACACTAAGAAATCGTCTATCGAATATTAAGTCAATCAATCCTGAAATACGTGGTATTCGATTAACCTGGGGTCCAAGATTATATGAACCAATTGGATATGAAATGTACAGTAATATTATACAACCACTTATGGATCCAGAGAAAACACAATCAAAAGTTTTAGACTTAGTAAGTAGAATACTACAAGTACTCATTGATCATAAATTATTTTGAAGGCGTTTCTTGATTTCAATTACTTCATGGTACGTAACTAAAACAGAAGAACAAACTAGCTCTAGGAACTCAATTTTCCCTGTTCATGAACACCTACCAGTGTGGCGAAATTAAGATGCAGTTAAACTACCAACAGTTCTATATTAGATTACTTTATCGAAACAAACCACAATACTAGCATTAAAGAGAATTCCTCTATCATCCCTCAGGTCTGTAGATACCAAACACTGCAAACATCAGAGGCCATTGCGATTCGCTTAAATAAACCGGAGCTCTGGTTTCCGAAAAAACACATCCAGCTGTCAAACCTATAAATTCATAAATTCTGTGTTACCTCCCCTATTTTCTCTGGTATTCAATTTAGTTTTACACTTATTTATGCATGTTATCTCTTATGGATGATTTGAAAATGCAACCTGTCGACACTAATTCATTTCACGTTTGGCTACGAAATAATATCCCTTAGAGAACCACTGAGAACCAGGGAGTACCGTTTCATCCTAGTTTTGAACTCTGAAACAGCAGGCATTCACTAGTGTTTGAACCCAGAACGTTCAGGCTAAAAGACGAGCTCGTAGGTCGTTCAGACACCAGAACCCGACTCATCGGCTCATGAATTGCAATTTCTATTTTAGTGCGACAATCAATCAATGTCACTGGTAAGTATTTGTCCCCACACCCAACCTGGCGGAACCCACTGATCACGACTTCTCACTACTATTCTAGGTGACTTCACCCTGTAGCCAGTTACTAGTGGGTACCAGTGGGGTCCATCTGGTGGCAGTGATACTCTCCGGTGACATTGGCTGGCTGGTGATAGAGCTAAAATTACGAACTGATAGAATTTACAATTCATGGGCTGGTTACTGAGTCGGATCTCAGTGTCAGAATGGTCTACGAGCCCAGCGAGTGCGTACTGCCAATGATTCCCAAACCAGGATGAAATATCTGTTCAATACTCCCTGCTGGTTTTCACAGGTTCTTTAACCGATATCAATCCATGGTCAAACTTGAAACAAATCAAATCTCGACAAACGAACTCTTGAAGACTATTCATTCAATGTAATTTTAAAAAAATCAATATTGGTAATAAAAATATTTCTTTAACTATCATAGGCATATAATTGTAGAGCCTGATGAAGGAGTTGTCGAAAAGAATATTGTTTTCGTTCACTAATCAGTATTTAAAAAATAGGAAAGACACATCAAATAATGTGACTAACATTAATGTGTTTGTTCAACATCCATTTATAGGAAATCTTGTACAGAAATTGTAGAAAATCTATCCGAACTTCACCATCTATGTTCTATGCCTTTTACTGGAAAGACAGGCCTGGAATCTCCTGGGAAGTGATGCTCTACTGAGTTCCTAAGCCTAATAATTTAATTCATTAGTAAATGATTTCACTTACCTGTGAGATTCAAGTGATAGATGGACCAAATCTTTGTGATCTACTGTCATCTTAACCTGCTTTCGAGCTATATAAACTTCTGTGTACAACACCAGTAGTTCCACCTCTATGATGTACCTGTGAATTTCATTCGACATAAACACACAACCTCAAGTAGCGTGAAGAAACTACCATTCTTGACTGCTCAACCCAATACTGAAAGAAATGACCAACACTCTGACTAAGAATGAAACTGGTAGCATAACCAGACTCCCCACTGAAATTATACTAACTGTTTTTGAAGGACTTTAGATAAGCTTAGTTTAAGTTTTGTTTCTAAGCTAATTTTTTTTTATTTCACCAAAACTTTTCTATTTTAGAATGTGCCTGGCCTTCAGCTTAAAGGACTTCAGGAAGAAACTTTGTATATTGTTCAAGCTCAAATGATTAGTGAGAAAGGCGATGGACCTGTTTCACGTATCTATTTCATGACACCCTCCAGTAAGTTACCTTTTAAACTTACTAGTATTCATCATTTTGTTCAATAATTCAATGGGATATAAGAATAGAACTTTAGCAGTATGGTAGAGTATAATTCGATTAGGTAGGTCGAGCAATAGTTAGATTATCGGAACGTAAGAATTTAAATTTGTGTAGAATGATTGACCTCATGTAGATGAAGAGTTTAGAGAAGGAATTTATCAGTGCCATTACATGCATTAACACACAATCATGCAATGAAGTGGGACAGAGCTACAACTCCAAAAAGTAATACAGGTAGGTGAAGAAGGAAGGACTGATCACTGAATGTTTGTTCGTGCAACAGGACTGACGCAAAGTTGATACCAGAAATGTGAAAAATATTATTACCAATAAATAATAATTTGCCTTATTCCAAAACAGTACTTGTGATACAGAATGGAATTCTCACCATTTCACTACAGTATTGCATCCAGTTAGTACATTAACAATAAATAAAATTCTACATAGATTATGGGTAGTCTCAGTTAGTTTTGACAATGACATATTAGCATATCGGTAGCAAAGCCAAAAGTGAACACAATGTTTGAAGGTGTTAGAAAAGTAGGTGCTAGCATATTTACTGGCGTAAGCGGTAACAAAAAGGTCGAGATATGCAGAGTGTGAAAGAACGAAGAAGAATGTTTTAAGTAGAGTTTGTATGGAAGAGAGAAACAAAGTAGCACACCACAAAAAAGGGAAAAGGGAAAGAAAGAAAGAAAACTTTGTACCTATAAATGATATGAGTTGGAAAGACGAGATCCAGTTGTTCTACTGACTATTTAATAAGTCATAAGTTTCACGCTAAATGCTTTCTTTATCGCACAGAACACGAGCTAGGTAGGGTATGGTTGAGTTTTTGTACTTACTAGTGCGAGCATATAGTTTTCTATATCGGCTTCTGGTCCTGCCTGATGAGATACAAGAGGAGAGTTGTGAATGAAGAGGGTGGTAGTGTGAGTTAGATAGATAAAATGGATTTAGCCCATTTTTTCACATGAGTCCATGTGCCTGTCCACCAGAATATTAACAAGCTGGTTAAGTGCCACGTTCCTTACCCGGCTGACAACCTTTAACAACCTACGTAATAAGATATAGTCCTTCTTCGGTAGCCCTGGAAAAACTTAGGGGGAACAATAGAGAATAATAGGCAGAATGCGAGAGTTAACGAATCATAAGAGTAAGGGTTGGGTTATACCAGAATGTCTTAACTTCTTGATGTAGAAGGTAAGACGGAATATTTTCTTAGAAATCATCAAGACGACCAGGAAAGATCAGCAGATAGAATGACGCCAAGATATTTAATTTCCGACTTGGTCTCTATTTCAGCGCCATTTATGTTGCACACCTCGTGAGTGCTAACCAGTTTGTTTAGGTCAGATAAGAGGTAATGGAATAATCGTGAACGAAATTTAAAAGTTATGAGAGTCCTTGGGATGATTATGTGCTCAAAACGTCATCAATAAATAATGTTGTATCACTAAGTGCTTTTATCAGATAAATTAACTCTATGATGGAATTATTGAGTTTGATACTATTGAAGAGAGAAATTAGTATGTACTGTATCTGACATCACTTCAAGAGTCTTCATAGGCACATGATCTCAGCTAACTTAGATGCAAATTATATAAGTGAAAAAATGAGTACTACCCATTGAGATATATGAACAGACGATAGATTATTGTACCAAAAGGTAGACTTATAGGGACATCATTGACTAAATGATTCATTGACATCAGTTAGAAAACCATCGGAAAACCAGCGGGTGCTGGACAGCTGTTTCGTCCTAGTTTTTGGACTCTTCACCGGCACGCACCCATTAAGGTTCAAACCGTAAACCCTCTAGTTACAAGGCTGACTCTTAGACTATTCTATCACGAAGTGGACAAAACAGCTTCTCAGTACTCCCTGGTGGTTTTCAAATGGCTCTCGAACTAATGCCGACTGGTGATCATATCTATACGATGTATATGTATGCTTCTAATTAGGGGAAATATTTTCCTGATCCACATAAAGTACCTAATCATTTCTGTTTCTTTGTTTTTTCTGCATCCGATTAGGAGAAGCCAATTCACGGCATAATTCTCAGTCTATTCAAGAAATAAATGTAAAACTTTTATACATAATTATTTTATTTCAAATAATCAAATATCACATTTTATGACTCTACTGTCTTCCTAACTTTACTTCACTTTGTACTATACTACTACTAATACTAATACTAATACTTAAATACGTTAGACAAACTGATGTGCATACATATCTTTCCTATATACATATACATATGAAAAGGTTACCCTGTAATCCATTAGTAATAACCGCTGTATATAGTATTCTTTACTGAGCTATACACTTCCATGTAACATTGAACAATTGAACAATAAAAGTAAAACAAAGAACACAGCTTGTAATTAATTATCTTGTATTTATTTTTATTAATTTAAACTGACCAAATGTAGCTAAATATTTTCACTCACTATCACATATACCCGAAAAATGAACATGCATATACACGCAAATACAAAAATCATAACCAGGATGCTGTTGTTTTACTAAACTGCAACAAAAAATATGTAGAAGACGATTAAATGGCGATAACAAATACATAGCTCAATGTTACAATGGAAGAGGGAAAATCAAAAGAGTTATGTGATCAAATATTTTTCAGTCTTACTTGTGTTATATAAGCATAAATATACATTGTTTTGTTTTGTTTTTTTATTCTAATTGAAACGCAATAAAAGAATAAAAAATCTCCTGATATTTTTGTTTTAAATTTCTGTATTACATTTTCAGCAGTTCAGCTTTATCAAGTGTTGGTTTACAGGGATTGGTTATAGGTTTGACCACGAGTTGACATCATTCAGAGAACCATTGGAAAACCGACAGGGAGTACTGGACAGTTGGTTCGTCTTAGTGTGGGATTCTTCGTCAATACGTACCCACCGGGGTTCGAACCTAGGACCTTCAGGTTACGAGACTAGCTCACAGACCAAGTCAGCCATGAGGGTAACTCCATTATGGATAAAATGTTATTGTGATACAATCACACAGTGCTATACAGTAATATTTTCTGATGATGTTTCGAGCACAAATTATTGTTCATAGTCATCATACCATGGCACTCACACAACTTTTTACTTCATTTATATACATGAGTAAAAACTGATGATTAGACATCTGAATAAAATCAATATGAGGTAAAGTACATTCGGAAATAATATTAGTGTTATGAATAAAATACAATCAGATGGGAAATAAGATATTTTTAATGGTAAAATAAGGTAAACTGAACACTAGCGTTTATAAAAAGTCAACGCATTCTAACACATACTTAGACTTTAATTCATCTCATCCATTATCTGTTTGTGAAGGCAGATGTAGTTAAGTGTCTAACAAACCGAGCAATAGCACTAATTAGTACAAGAAAAGACCTATATGATGAAATAAAACAGATAGAAGAAGCGTTGGTATCAAATAACTATCCTATAAAATTCATTAGGAAGATCAGAGTAGGTCAAAATAGAAATAATAATGAGGAAACTGATAATGTTAACATAAATAAGACAGAATATAAGACATCTACAGTTCGACCATATAAGGAGGGGACATCTGAGACCCAACGCAGGATTCTCAATAAAGCAGGAATTAGGGTATTGGTATTCAAACCTACAAACTCACTCAGGTAGGACAGGATCTGTAGGCTAAAGGAACCTGTCAGCTGACCCAATTAAACAAAATAATATAATTTACAAAATACTTTGGGGTGAATGTGAGTTGAGTAAACTACATAGGTCAGACTAGTAGACCGGGAGTAGTGAGATTATCAGAACATAAGAATTTAGCTAAGGTTAGAATGATTGATCTCACGAAGATAAGCAATTTAGAAAACGACTCAGCAATCGCACCGCATGCATTAACACACAAACACACAATAGGGTGGGGAGAATTAAAATTCTAAGAAGTAATATAGGTAGGTGGAGAGAGAGACTGATTACTGAATCCTGCCTGGTAAATCGAGTCTACACCCAACACATGCAGTAAAAGTGACTCAACGCAAATACCAGTGATATGGAAGATATGATTACCAATCAAATCAGAGGACAATAAATAATGTTAAAATGTATTTCAATTTACTGACATAGAACTGAGTGTCAACCAAAAGACTCCACAATGAAAGCAGGTAAAACCAACACCATCTACTAAATAAATTGTAACAACTGAGAAAAACACTACATTGGCCAAAATGGACGTCCCCTTCGTCTTCGTATCCATGAACATAAGCTAGTCATCAAAAGACATGACATCCACTGCCTCATATCACTACATACAGACAACCAAGGACATCACTTCGACTGGGACAACATTCAAATATTAGACAGAAGAAACACCAAAAATGCCAGAGAATTTCTAGAAGCTTGGTATTCCAGTAAATTTACCAACCGATAAGAAGGAAATCTCACGCACAAATGGTCAAAGTTCAAGTCAAGGAAACAATCAGTCCCAATACAAATAGCCTAGAGGATGTGAAAACACACAAAAACAACCAATCACGTTCAAGGTCACCTACCAGGAGAGATGACTAATAAACTCGTGAAGAAATCTAAAAGCTCACTTCAGATTGCAGTATGCGCTGAAGATGCTGCCTAGTAGGGCAATGAAAGCTTCGCAAATTGACTATCCAGCTCAGAGAACGCAACCACATCAAAAAAGGTCGGGATTTTCAACTCCAATGTGAAGTCAGTGCTATTATACAGAACGGAGACTTAGCACGTCACGAAAGGCACTTCTAACAAACTACAGACTTTCATCAACAGCTATCTTCGCTCGATACTAAAGATTACAGGGCCGGCCAGAAAAGATCAAAAACAGGGAGGGATTTCCAGGAACCAATTGTGCAACAAATATGCAGGAAGAAATGGAGGTGAATTGGCCATACTCTGAGAAAACCATCAAGTGACATCACACGCCACTGCTCGAATGGAACCCAAATGGGAAGCGGCGAATCGGTCATCACTGCGAGGACGACATGGAGGAGGTCATGCGAAGAGGAGGTGAAAGCATGCGAGCAGACGTGGAGCCAGGTGAAAACGTTGGCGGAGAACCGAATGCAATGGAGACGTGCGGCTGAAGTCCTATGTTCTTCTAAGAACTAAAGAAAACAACAATAACACAATAATAATTCTCCTGGGTTCTAATTGACAAATAGGTCTTCAGCAGCACATCCCTATTTGCCCCTATTCTCTACAATCTTTTTTAACTGGCTCCACGACTGCCCATAACCTGTCATCTCCATGTCACCCACGGACTAAGCCCAACTCTCCATTTGCAATTCGAGGGGCTGCCTGGCACGTGACGTCTCTCAGTGCCTTTGTCCTCATGGGTCTGGTTCATCTCCATTTCCTTCGGTGTATTTATTGGGCAATAGGTTCTTGATTTATTCGCTCCCTGAGTTACCTGCTGCTGAATATTTCAGCAATGCCTCTTTTTTCTTTAATTGACGGTAATTTAGTGAGAACAGAAATACATTGTTCTCTTATGATTTCATTTAAGCTAATATTGTAGTACTGAAATAAATATGGCTTCGTCATTCAAAGGGAAACCATGATACAGGCTGAAACCTGATGCAATTTGCACGAGTACATTAGGTGACCAACGAACATAAGTGAATAGTTACAACAATATGAGAATTAGAGAAAATATGATGCATTGTGCCTGATGGAAATTCCGGTAGTCCAGTGATTCAAGCAGGCCGCCAGCACTCGAGTAATCAAGTAAACCATTCGCGTACTACACTCAAAACTATAACTTCTGTGGAGGCAGAGGGGCTAAAGAAACCGTACAAGTTTCAAGAGTCAACTGTCTAAAGTTCTGAGATGCAATCCAATAAGTCTGTTTACTCATTTATTAAGTATCGAGGACATTTATCAACCATCTTAGGAAATAGAGAGCCACAGGACCAGTTTGAAGCATCCCTATCAGCACTAATATAATTTCGGTTGTTAGGTCTCATAAAGAACGAACATCAGTCAGAGAGATCACTGAAAACCAGGGAGAACTGGATATGGTTGTTTCGTCCTATCTTGGACTCTTCACGAATGGGAAACGAGGGTCCTTTAGGTTACCACACCAAGCTCGTTGACTATTCAGCCATTCCAGAGGGAATTCAAATACCCGTGAATATTATACTTTGTGAGTTCGTGACATAGTGTTACACTCACCAATGCCTTCAATGAGCATTCAATTCAAAGTGACATGGTGGACCCCGCTGACCACAACTTCTCACTACAGCTTCAGGACATCTACCCAGTAGCTATTGACCATCTGGAGACTGATATTTAGTTTCCTACAAATCTCATAAACTAGATATCTATCACTGTTAGTTTGACCCAGTCACCAATTTCTGGTGATGAGCATACCTCAACAAAATTAAACGAGAAATCTGCTTAACTACAAATTTGTGCACACACATGAAAAGATAGCTCTTCTTTTTACACAAGAATATGACCTATAGCAGCCCTCATTTACTGTAAAGACTACTGATATCTACCATCAAGATGAACTTCAGATGATCTACAGGATCATAGACACCGAATATTAAGAGGAAATTTGTGTTTTGAAAATAATTGAATTTATACAGTAGCAAGTATTCTGAGAAGTAAAACATTAGGTAACTGTCTGTCTATCTACCTGCTCATCTAAAGACAAAATTGTATAAATTATATATGCAGAGGCAGAATGCTCGTCAACCACGTTTTACGTGGTCCGAAGTTTGACGCCTGCCGATGAACTCATTGACCTCGCTTAGTTGGTAGTAAATCTGGTAAAGAGGGAAGGTTGAGTGTGAGGTCAGTATTCTCTCAATCTATTAAAAGGCAACACCACTGCTACTGAAGCTTAAAAACTCAAGCATCAAGGCCTAAGTTCCACTCGGAACGCAGAAGACTGACTAACTTGTTTCAACATAGAACTTTGCACAGATGTGCAGCAGTTCCAGTTGCCACTCCCCCCCCCCACGTGCCACACAAAGCAAGACAAGAGTAAACACTGATTAAAAAAAAGACATAATAAAAAGAGATGTAAGACAAAAAGATTAATAACATGCAATAACAATAGAATTTTATCGGATATGATAAATCACAGAGCAACTGCATCTTCCTCAGCCATCGACAAGGTTTTTCAGACAGCCATATCACCAATTGTCTCCAGTCTCCATTACCTCCTGACATAAAAAGGACCCCAACCACGCAGTCCACACCTTCGAAAGTGGCTGGCTTAAACTGTCGTCGACATCATTGACTGATGAGGCGATGTCGTCGTTTGACCACCACTACATCAAGCGTTTCTGACCTGATTCATCTTATGTCAGCCAGTTAGCTAACATTGTCCGTCGTCGAGGAAGAAGATCGATAGCCAGCCATGCATGCATAACACATGTCCTAACCATCTCAATCGACGCAGCTGCTTCACAACCCTGTCAACCGACTTATCCTCCCACTTACCTAGCACTCAATCAACACCGAACCCCAATATTGCTCACCTTGCTATACCACCTCACACCGGAGATAGAAAGTAGACACCTGTGATCAAAGACAGCTAGCCGGCCGTTTTGTATCTTCCACCTTCAATGGCCATTTCTCACCTACAGCCATATAGGAGGACAGAGAGAACTGCTGAGCAGTCGCAACATAGAAGAATAAAGCAATATGAATTAATAATGATAAGTGCATATTTTGAATAAACTTTTATTTAAACAAACTGGATAGAAAAATACGATATGAACAGTGGTTTGAAAATATTTCGAAATCAATCGTTTCAATATACATATATAAGTAATATGTAGGGCCTGTACAAACAGATACTAATATCATACAGCTGTATACCTAAAAGAATATAATCTGTAAAAAGATGATTTATTGTGCATTTCGCATAATTTGCTTCAAATCTTATTGAAATACTTATGTATTGTACATTACTGGGATTTAAAAATAAAACAAAAAACCAGATTTGTTCAAATCTTTTGATGACAACTTCTTTAAAACATGATGATACCTATAAATATATGTACAAAATTGTGAGATCTGTATACAAGCATGAAAAAAAAGAGGGGGAGGCGGTCAGTCTTCATCGTCTGAATCAGCAACAAGTACAGTATGACCACCGACTACTGTAGATGTCTGATCCATAAGAGTCGAATTTAATATGGTTGTTTTCCATGATAATATTGATGTTCCTGTTGTTGTAGTTGTTGTGGTTGTCATAGCTCTCTGTTCGAACAAATTCGTACGACCAAGTACAGTTGTGTTTATATTATCTGCAATACCACCACCACCAAATGCATTAAAACTGTCTTTACCTTGGAAGTTTGAAAAAAGAGCTGAACGGACCTAAAATGTTTAACAAAAAAGCAACACCTGGTGTAGTTAATCTTTAGTTGAATAAAATAAGACAACCACTGAACCGAGTAGTTAGAAGAGAAAGAAATCAGAGTAGTAAGATTTCATTTCCGATGATCACGCTTATAAACAACAGAAGCGCTGGGAATCAAGATGACACTAAGAGAAATAAGAGCATCTGGAATTGTAAGGTATTCAACACACTACTACTACTATTGTGGTGAGAGCAGGCTGCTAGCCAATTGGTAGACGTCAATGTCTAGGTCACTAATATTGGCCGTGAGAAGATATAAACAAGGCTGATTCAACAACCAATCACAACAGACTTAACGTGGGCAAATACGATTCGCAGATATATGGCTCCACTTTCCGCGAAACCAGAAACAACCAATCAGAAGACTGTGTTTGTCTGCTTGAATAAACTATAATAATGTACATGAAATATATATAAATACGTGCTGATTTCCGTAATAAAACTATCTGTTGCCGGCCCTTGTCTTCTGTTGTTACACTATAACTATCATTTCCTCTATCATAATTTGTAAATCATTTCGCATTTGGTTAAGTACTAGACTAGCAACAGGTGGTTAAGTTCTTCAGTATGCTGAAGACTGTTGATGATATGCCTCGAAATCGTTGTAAATGGAGCAGAAGCATTCGCTCTTTGTAATCTCTCATATCGATTAAACCCACACTTTTATTTCTGTGTTACTATTGTCTCTCTCGCATATATCCCCTAATTATAGTTCGCTGGAATCTCTACTTTCTGTCTTTTCCCCACCTGTGTGTGCTACATGGAGTGGTACAGCTTGAACTGCTCCACTTCTGTGTAAAGTTCTATGTTGAAATTCAATCAGTTAGCAATAAGCGGAACCGCCACTAGAACTCCAGACCACCTGTTGAGCTTAGAACAGAGACTTGATACTATAAGTTCTCAAATAATAAAATGCGGCTTATCGCCATAAAACCTAAAAACCGATAGCTTTATTGCTGGCATAGACTAAACAAATAACCGTGTAGTTTCCCAGTATACGACTTAATGTAAGTCCAACGTCAGTTGGAGAGATTACTGAAGGCCAAGGAGCACTGGATAACTGATTCGTCCCAGTGTGGAACTCGTCAGTAGACCACACCTGGGCTCTTCAGGTTACGAGAACCAAATTCGTTGACCATTCACAGTCATTCCAGCCGAAATTCAATGACCCGTGAATTCTAAATTCGACAATTCGTGATGTAGCGTTACTCTCACCCTTAAAAGTGCCTCCAATGAGCATCCACTTCACCTAGAAATAGTGCAGTTTTTTTGTCGTAAGCAGTTAGGAACAGTCTTGATCACATACAACATTAGGGCACTCAACATAACTAGGTAGGTATGCGAACGACAATTACTTTTGGTAGTTAGATTGTAAATTTACAACTTACACCTAACGTAACGTACTCTACTTGGCAACTGTATGCACTAAAAACGTAGGAAAGAGAATAAACGTAATTATGATTCAATTGTACGATCGAAAACCTATTACTTAATTTTTTAATGACAAACACTTGTAAATCAAATTCTCAATTTGCAATTTACACCAGTTTGAGGAGAAGAAATTTCACCAGAGTTTCCTCTCAGAACACAATAAGTGACCTGCTTGATACTATAAACGGTAATCAAGGAATCAAGCAAAATTTCATAGAACTACATTCTACTACTGATTGATTGATATGAGTAGTTGGATACCACTCATATCAACCAGTAGTGCTTCTTAGCTTCACTGGTTTCCACACACAACTTTGCACAGATATGCAGGAGATCTAATTGCCACACTCCCTCCATGCAGCACACAAACCAAAATAAGACAGTAAACAGAGATTCAAAAAGAGAGACAATAAAAACAGAAATGTGAAGCGAAAAGAATACTAATATGGAAGAAGAATATGACTTTATTGGATGTGATAAATCACAAAGAGTGAATGCATCCTCCCAAGCCATTGAGAACGATTTTCAACCAGCCATATCACCAATTGTCTCCAACCTTTATTGTTTCTTGCCATCAGACGGTCTACACCTTCAGACGTGGCTGGCTTAAACTAACTGTTGTGGATTTCATTGACTGATGAGGCCATATCTTCGTTTGCCCATCACTAGGTAACTCTTTTCCAACCTAATCCATCCTATGTCAATCAGCTAACATTTTCCTTCCTCGAGGAAGGAGGTCAATGGCTAGGGGTGCATGCGTAACACATCTCCTAACCATCTCAATCGATGCAACTGCTTCACAACCTCGTCAACTGATTTCCCCTTTCACTTACCTAGCACTCGACCGAAGCCTAACTGAAATATTACTCACCCTATTATACCATTTAACATGGGAGACAGAACGCCGACACCTATAATCAAAGATAGCTAGCCGGCCTTTTCATGTCTTACACTTTCAATGGCTATTTCTCACCCACAGCCATAAAGGAGGACAGAGCGAACTGCTGAGCTTCTTATCCAGGTGGCCATTTCACTCGTTTGGGGCATACTGTCACGATTAAAATTCCATTGAAATCTTGTTCAAAATACTCTACAATTTCCAGGGGAATACAGTTTTTAATCAAACTGAGTGTTCCTGACCCTACACAATTGTATTTAAACAGTTTACATAAATGTATGAAATGCAGTCTATTTATTATTTAGAAACTAGTAATGTTTATTAATTAAATATATTGGAGGAATTTAGTGTAATTATATATTTAAATATATGTATATAACGTTACTGACACAAAAACTTGAATATATACTTTTTGTTAACATCATCATAAGTGATCAACATACCTTCTTAAGTGGCGTTTCACTCTGAGAATCACGACTGTGATGTGAACTAGGAAACTGAAAGTTAAAAAAACACAAGGATAAAAATTTTCCCCAAAAGAATACAATGAGATTTTGAAGCCTGAAGAGGAACTTGTTCAAATAAAGGTAAAATAACGCCACCACGCTAAGCAATGCAGCAAGATATTTCCCCCACCCACCCTGAGAATAAAACAATCCTCAAAGACTGTCAATTAATTTGTCCTCAATTCGAACCAAACTACAATTAATTAATTATTTTCATTGTGTAACAACAGAAGACAAGGGCCAGGCAACAGATCGTTTTATTACGGAAATCAACACGTCTGTCTCTCTGTCTGTTTTCGACATAGAACTTTGCACAAATGTGCACCAGTTCAAGTCGCCACACTCCATGTAGCACGCGAAGCAAGAGAAGAAAGTACAAGAAAGGCATAATAGAAACAGTGAGCAGAGGTGTGAGACAAAGGAGTAATAAAGAAAAACAAAACAGTTTCATTGGATATCATAAGTCACAAGGAGTGGACGCATCTGCGCCACTGAGAACGATTTTGAGCCATGTCACCAATTGTTTCCAACCATAGATTTTTACCGTCCTGAGGACCCCAGCCTGGAAGTCTACACGTATTTATGTATATTTTCTGTACATTATCATAGCTTATGCAAGTAGACGAGCGCAGTCTTCTGATTGGTTGTTTTCAAGTTTGTCGGAAAGTGGAGCCATCTATCTGCAAATCAGATTTGACCACGTTTAAGTCTGCTGTGATTGGTTGTTGAATCAGCCTTGTTCATATTTTCTCACGGCCAATATTAGTGACCTACACATTGACGTTTACCAATTGGCTAGCAGCCTGCTCTCACCACAATTGTAGAGGTACTAATGATGAACGTAATTTCAGTCGACTTCGATACCTCTGTTGTTTACCTGCTACTACAGAGAAAGCTTTCCCAAGCTGAAAGTACGCGCTCATGATATAGTTCTTTTAGTGAAAAGCACTGATAAAATTTAGTCTTTCAAAGAAAACTGAAGAAAAACACGAGCATGTTCGGCAAGTGATTTGCCTCTATCATATATAACATGATGTTATAGGAGTGACCTTCACCTTTTACCGGTAGAACACAGAGGTAACTGGTAGCAGAATTGTCCACAGGGTAAAATTACATACAACTCTGAAGCAATCAATCTTTGCCTCCTCAGTCACTCCTCTCTGTATCTTCTCCAGTAGATATTACTGTATAACACTGTGAGGTTTCATTAAAATAAATTTTATGCATAATGAAATTCTTCTCTAGTGCAGTAGAAGTAGCGGTAATCTAGTGATTAGTCGTGCATTGTTGTTCAGATTATGGAATTTGTGAGGATTTCAGCTTAATTTGTGGAGTGGCCATTGAATCGCGTCCTAGAAGCTGAATAATATATAAGCTTGCCTTGTAACCGGAAGGTCCTGGGTTCGAAACCCAGCGGTTGTGTACTGCCGATGAGTCCAAAACTAGGGCGAAACACTTATCCGGTACTCCCTGGTATTCAGTGGTTCTTTAACTGGCATCAATCCGTGGTATAGCCTAAATCAAACAGAATCTCTACAAACAATTATTATTATTGCTCCCTTGGGTTCCTAGTGGAACAGGACTTCAACTGCACGTCTCCACTTGCTTCTGTCTTCTGCTGTACTTTTCACCTGCATCCATCTTACTCCATACTCTTTCAACTCCTCTTCACACGATCTCCTCCATGTCACCCTTAGACGCCCCACTCGCCGCTTCCCTTTCGGGTCCCACTCGAGGGCTTGACGCGCGATGTCACCCAGCGGTCTCCTCAGCGAGTGTCCAATCCATCTCCACTTTCTCCTGAATATTTGTTGGTTGGCGACTGGTTCTTGTTTTGTTTGTTCCTTCCCATAGCTTCTTGTTGGTGATTCTTTCCGGCCTGGCTATCTGATCTTCAGTATAGAGCGAAGACAGTTAGTTGTTGGTAAAGATCTGCAACAGGCTGTTGGAAATATTGTTTGTGACTCACTCGCCAAGTTTCTGATCCATATAGAAGAGCTGACTGACTTGACGTTTGTATTGAAAATCCGACCGAATTTTGTTGTTGATGCTGAGTTGAGTGACGAAGATTTCCAGATTGGTTTCAGGTTGATGAATGTGTTTCTCCCCTTCCCGATTCTCGCTCGATTTAACATCCTCGTCTGTTCTGACTTCCTGTAGTTGAGACAATGATCCCTAGATCAGTGAGTGAATGAAGTAACCTCTCTCAAATTCCTCCAGTTGATGGTGATTGACGCTGGGTGTTGCTGTTGTTGTTGTCGTTGTTGGTTGGTTATTTTCATAACCTCCGTCTTGTCTATGTTCACCTGGAGTCCTGTCTTCGCCGGCTGCTTCTTCGACCAGTTTGTCGACTTCCGCTTGTAAGTCTTCGATTTCGTGTGACATCAAACATAAATCATCCACGCGAGAAATAAAGGTCTTCTAGGTTCTTCGCGTCGGTCCGGGATATTCCTGTCCGCTCGTTTCCCACTGTCTGACGCATAATCCAGTCAGTCCACCACAATTAGAAATATCATTGATGATAATAAGCACCTTGGTCTGACTCCTGTGTTTACTCCAAACGCCTCACTGAGCTTTCCGTTGTGGGTCACTTCACATGTGCCGCCGTTGTCGTACAGCTGTTGAATGAGGTTGATGAATATTTGGGGTACGCCGTAGTACTCGAGTAATTTCCAAATTACTTCACGATCAACGCTGTCGAAGGCCTTTTCAAAGTCTATAAAGTTGAGGTAGAGGTTTGATCGCCATTCCGTGCTTTGTTCGATGATGATGCGTAGAGTTGCAATTTGGTCAGTACATGATTTGCCTTTCGTGAATCCAGCTTGTTCTGGTCGGAATTCTGTATCCAGTGCGTCCTTTAATTTCCCCAGGATGATATGACTCAGGATTCTACTTGGCGTCGACAGGAGCATGATTCCTCGCCAGTTCTTGCAGAGTGGGTCCTAAGTCGCCCTTCTTTGGTAGTTTCACGAGGTAACCTTTCCTCCAGTCAGTAGGCACCTTTCCCTCCTTCCAGATCTTTTGCAATAATGGAGTCAGTATGTTTGCTGTAATTTCTGGGTCCGCTTTTAGTGCTTTAGGGGGTATTCCATCTGGTCCAGCTGCTTTTCCAGCTTTCAGAAGCTTGATTGCATTCAAGACTTCAGCTTTCGTTGGAGGATTGGTGTCAACTTCTAGTTGTGTACGTGCTGTTGTTGGTATTTCTGGACGGGTTGCAGGTGGTGGTTGGTTCAAGAGTCCTTTGAAGTGATCCGCCCATTGTTTAATCTGTCTTTCTTCCTTGGTAATTGGGTTCCCTTGGCTGTCTTTTATAGGTTTCGCTTGTATTGATCTCTTACCGGATAGAGATTTGGTTATCTGATATAGTGTCCTCAGGTCCCTTTTGCCTGCTGCCTTCTCAGCTTCAGTGGCCAGGTTGTCGTAGAATCGTCCTTTGTTGTTCCTAGCACTCTTCACTTCTTTGTCCAGTGTTGTGTAAGTTGAGCTCAGCGTCTCCTTCTCCTCTCCGTCCTTGCATTGAATCTTTCACCATTCTCCTCTCTTCTATTAGTTTCCAAGTGTCCGTTGAGAGCCATTTCTTGTCTTATCTCTTATTTCTTCCTAGAACCGTTGAACACATTTCGTTGAGAATCGCCTTCAGAGACTTCCAATGTTCTTCCATGCATGATTCTTCAGTGATGTCACGTGGTGTTTCCTGCTTTGCTCTGACAGTTGTAGTGAAAGTGTGATTTGTGGTTGTGTCCTTCAGTTTCTGAGTGTTGAACTTGCATTGTGGCCTATCCCCAGCTATCCTCGAGGCTTTTAGTTTCACCTTGAAAGTCTCTTGTACTAGATAGTGGTCTGAACCCACATCTGCTCCTCTCATCGACCTTGTGTTCAGTAGGCTCCGTCTACACTTTCTTGAAAATTAATTTCAATTGTTAAGTTCTCGCCACGAAACAACTCATCATTTAGAGAGACCATTGATGACAAGGGAACACTGGACAATCGCGTTTCGTCTTTTTCTGGGACTCTTCCATCAGTGCACACCTATGATCCAGTCAAAGATAGAACCCAAGTCAAATGGTCACAAATTTTCAACACAGCTTCAGGACATCCATCCAATAGCCCATTAATGAGCTGGATATTGATTGATATCTAGATTATGCGATCTGAATTATTTCACTTGTTAGAGTTAGAATTTATGGGTGATTGAATCCCAACCTCAATAGGCTGAATGATGGGTGTGTGTGTGTGGGTGCGCACATCCGAAGAGTCTCAAACTAGGACGAAACAACTGATTGGTACTCCCAAGTTTTTAATAGTCTTTGTAACATTGGGAACAAAGACAAATCAAGTAGTGTCTCGGTGACACTAGTTACTAATTAGAAGAAACTAAAGTGTATAGTACATAGTTCAATAGGCTAGGAAGCTCACTTACAGAATGCTTCATTTTCTCACTTGTAGGCTGTTTGCTTGTTAAAGTCATATTTACATCTGCTTGAATAATTTGTGTAGGAAATTCATTTGCTTGTGATAGCATACATCTACTGGAAGAAAGAGAATTTGGATTTCTTTTTGTCTGCACCAATACAGTATCATCATTCTGAATGCTAAAACAAAAGGAAATAACTATTATGACTAATAGTAAAACAGTTATGAAGAAAAATAGGCGCGAATTACAAAGTAAGAGCTACATTTCTAATTAATTAGTAATATTTCAAGTCTGTTATCCATTGCATTAATTTTGAACATGATTACAGTATGTAACAAGCATAACCAACAGATCCCGTTTCCCCTTGAAATTGTCTGCTATTAAAATGCTAATTAAAAGCAATGGCGTAGATCCTCCAACCGGCAGCAATAATTTTGAAAATATTTCCGTACGAGAATACCACAATCTGGTGACGTCTCTGACTGAAGTATTGGGTAACACAGCTTCGAATATCAGGAGAGACATGAGTCCTTTCAAGATTGCAAGTACCCCTTGCTGACTGACTGGTGAGTGGCAACAAGCACGAAACTTAGGCCGAACACTTCCTGCTGACTGCTTCTAACCATCTAATAACAACAATTCACACTACACCGTGATGCCAAGTCGCCTAGCATGGTGGCTACATTACAAACTTGACTGTTCAGTTTGCACCAAAAAAGGGCCAGAGACATCATACTAGCTACTAACTAACTTCTAAGTGCAAGTATGTTCCTGATGGAATTACAGCTCATTAGATCGAATATTCCGATGACAGTCAATGAGTTATAAGATCTAATACCAACTGTTTTATATTGCTAATGATTAAGATTTGCAATTTTATTCCTGCTTCGTCACATTAACTCACCTGTGAATTATACGTTTTTTTAAACAAAAAACAGTTGACATCTTCTAGTCAACAAAACTGAGTAAGATGTATGTAGTATCGCCCTTCAACTCAAAAAAACCGAATGCAAGTAATAATTCTCAGAATTATTTGTCTGTCTGTCTGTCTGTTTTCGATATGGAACTTTGCACATATGTGCGGCAGTTCAAGTCGCCACACTCCCTCTATGTAGCACACACAGAAAGAGAAGAAATGCATACTAGAGACAGTAAACAGAGGTGTGAGACAAAGGAATAGTAGTAACGAAGAACAATATACTTTCATTGGAAACCACAAGTCACAAGGAGTGGATGCATCTGCACCAGCCATTGAGAACGATTTTGAGCCATGTCACCAATTGTTTCCAAACATTGGTTTTTACCGTCCCGAGGACCCCAACCAGGATGTCTACACCTTCCTACGTGGCTCAGACTAACTGTTGTAGATCTCATTGACTGGTGAGGCCATGTTTTTGTTTGACCTCCGTTAGCTCTTTTCCAACCTGACCCTATATCCGCTAATATTGCCCATTGTCGAGGAAGGCGATGACTAGGCATACGTAACACATATCCTAACCATCTCAGTCGATGTAATTTCACAGCCTCGTTGATTGATTTCCTCTTCTTACCTAGCACTTGACGCCTAACCTCAATATTGCTCACCTTATTATACCACTTCACACGGGAGATAGAACGCAGGCACCTATGATCAAAGACAGCTAATCTTTTCATGTCTTCCACTCTCAATGGCCACGTCTCACACCCATAAAGGAGGACGGAGCGGACTGATGAGCAGTACGCCTGCCTTTTGGTCGATAGTCGGATGTCACGTCTACTAAGCCAGAGACGGCGTAAACTGGCATTTGCGAAACTAGCCCTCAGTATCCGTGCTGAGATTTCGTCAGAGATCAACCCGTTGGGGCTGATGGTACTTCCCAAGTAAGTGAAGCGGTCAACGTGTTTTACCACTTCACTTCCTATTTCTAGTCTAGGAATCGATGTAGTTCAGTCCTGTAACATCATCTTGCATTTGGCGGGAGTGAATCGCAGAATTATGGGAGCACAAACCTCCATTGTGTGTTACCTCCAACAGAGTGACACATGTTATTCTGTTCACATAGTAATAAATGATGCTGAAAATGACTGGAAAAAAAGGGTGAACAATACCGCACCTATACGTCGTAAAAAATCTTTTAGCCAAAATGCTTTTTGTACATCAATGTTTTCTTTTGTCCGTTGAACAGAACAGAACGCTATGATAGAGGAGTAGTGCTCAACATGTACGCTTAAGAAAATAGAGCTGGATTGGACACATTCTGAGGAGACCGTTGGGTGATATCGTGTACCAGGTATACACCTCGAGTGGAATGCAAATTGGAAACGACGACTTGGTCATCCATGGATGACATGGAAGAGATCATGTGAGCAGATGATAGCGTATGCGCAATCATGGACCAGACAAACAGGACCACAGAGAACAAGACAAAATAGAGACGTGCTGCTGTAGCCTTATGTTCCACTAGGAACCCAAGGGAGTAATAATAAATACTGTCAGAGATATATGCAAATTAAAACCAACTGATTCCATGTTCACTTACTGCTGTCTACAATACGTAAGTAATATTGTGGAGAATAAGACTTAAAATTGAGATCAAAGATGATAAACTCATGTGTTTATTGTCTTAAATAAACAATTAAGATAAGTTCACAACAAATCACTACTAATCATCATATTCTTATAAAAAATGATGCCTTTATTGTTGCTATTAATAAGCCCATCTCCGATCACTGACTATAATGTCGAAAGTATTTAGCTGGATTCCTCAAAATGTAGGCAGTTGTTGACTTAAAAATAGCAATAGATGACAATGATTTACGCTGATAATAGTAAAGCAGAGGTATTCATTAAAATGTTGAATGTCTGATTATTCTCCATATACATTCGCAAACTTGTTATTTGCTTGACAGAGTAGAAAGAGGGACGGAACACATTGATAAATGCAAATAAAATATCCGAATTTCGAAGGTTATGAGAAGGGAGAACACCTGTTATTGCGAACAAACTATTTTAAAACGATAGTGAAGGGTTTAAACAACTAACGCCTAACAACCTAATGACCTTAATACACTTTGTGAGCACTAACCATGTGACTAATAACCCAATACACATATCTCAAAGTGTGAAAATGTATTACTAGCCGTCTTTAACAACTGCTACAGCGAACATCACAGGTAATATAACCTCCTTGGTAAACTAAAGTGAATATTATTTGTAGAAATAGTATAAATAACCCTTTAATTTCTTGGCATTAAGCTCAAGTTTACAAATAAAACTTACTTTTCGTCTGCCAATAAACTAGGAGGACGTTGCAGTGGGACAGGAGTTCTACTCGACAGTGAATGGCGAGAAGACTGAGACTGTTGAGAGCCAGGAAGTGAACATCCATCTGAAGGAAAGGTTGCTAGAACATATCGAGCACTGAGTCGTGTCTCGTGCGTACAAGCAAATATTATAGGCTTTCCTGGTCGATCACAGTATATCCTTATCATGGGAGAAATCAATTCACAAAATGGCAAAATAACCTACAAAAGGAAATCATTTTTGCACAGATTAAGTGAAATTAAAAGAACAAAACTAACTGCAGTGAAATTAAACAATAGTTTGTTTTGTAAATACATACTTATCAAGTAAGGATAAAGCTAATTAAAGTTTGATGATGTCTACATTGTCCTACAATCACAAGCTATTTTTGCGACAAGTATACAAATCAAAATAATAAGTTCCAATTCTCACGAAGAAAATATACTTTGTCTAATTTGTTTCTTCTAGTTTACTCCTTTGCGTTATGAGTGCGACACAGGGCCTCAACCTTGAGCTTTGAAGATTAAGTAGTAGGGTAGGGTAGATAGCTTCAAGCTCAACTTCCCCTCTCTACCAAAATTATTACCGGTTAAACGAGGTTCAGGAGTGTACGTCGGCTGGGAATCGAACCCCGGGCCAAAGAAGATGTGGTTGACGAGCAGTAGTCTACCATTGAACCGCTGACGTACAAGAAAACATACTACTTAACATAAACTAATGGAAACATTTCCGTAAATGCCATACAAATACAAATTCTCTCGTTCGGACACAACACACTAGTGAGTCCCGAAAAAACAATATCAACGATGGAGTATATCAATTCCAAGTGTCATACAGACAACGTTAGTAGATAGAAGACTGAACAAAAATCGAAGGAGAATGATGTGACTAATGGTTTTTTTAAATTAAAACAACCAAAGTAGCAACTACAATAAAATTCCAAATGAGCAGTAAGTATTAGAACCAATCAATGAAACGGAAATGATGAGCAAACTAAAAGTAGCTTTCAATAAGACAGCAAAAAACAAAGGCAAGATATTATTATTATTATTTCCTTTAGTTCCTAGAGGAACATAGGGCTTCAGCTGCGCGTCTCCACTGCGTTCGGTTCTCTGCCAACGTTTTCACCCCGCTCTAAGTCTGCCTACATGCTTTCATCTCCTCTTCACATGACCTCCTCCAAGTCACCCTTGCACTGACGACTAACTCACCGCTTCCCTTTCGGGTTCCACTCCAGCGATGGCTTGTCTGGTGATGTCACTTGATGGTTTGCTCAGAGTATGCCCAATCCATCTCCATTTCTTCCTGCCTATTTGTTTCACAATCGGTTCGTGCTGGGTTGGTTCGCTTATCGCCAGAGATCCATCCCTGTTGCTGATCTTTCCTGGCTGGCCATCTGATCTTGGGTATTGAGCGAAGACAACTGTCAATGAAGGTCTGTAGTTTGTTTGACATACTCTTTATGACGCGCCAAGTCCCTGATCTGTATAGTAAGTAGCACTGACTTCACATTGGAGTTGAAAATCCGGATCTTATTTTTGATACTGAGTGCTGTTGACCTCCACAGACTTGAGAGTAATGAAAGCTTGTCTTGCTTTTCCGATTCTTGCTTTGATATCCTCGTCAGTTCCGCCTGTAGTTGAAACGATGCTTCCCAGGTAGGTAAAGGAGGTTGTTTCTTTCAGGCAAAAAGAGGGGGAGGGGAACGAGACACTAACTGCTAAAATTATTAAAATCGTTAGCAAAATAAAACAAATATGCGTCTTAAACCTTTGAAAACGACTATGGTTTACAACAAATTACAGTCTGTTTTGGGAAAAAATGATTCGCAACAAAGAAAGGGTGAACAAACAAGGTTTCTGTGCATCACTGGAGTCTTCAATACAAACCTTAAGATTAACTTTGAAACAACAGTATGAACCAAAACAATAGATTATCCCTCACACAGAGATGAAAACAAAACTGGTTGCTGTCAAGTCTGATGGAAAATAAAGTACCGAAATCAATCAAATTTGGTATATATATATATATATATATATATATATATATATATATATATATATATATATATATATATATATATATATATATATATATGGAGAGAGAGAGAGGCAGAAATGATACAAAACTGGTAAAATCAGTAGAGAACTCCGTTAGTTAGCACTAACAGCCAGCAAAATACTTCTTATCCACGACGCTATCAGTCAAGCTTATATTGTTAGACCTGATGATACAACCCAGTCGCTTAGGCTGAAGTAGGCAAGCTGATCAGAGAACCAACCTGCTGGCAATCAACCGCTAAGGCTGATAAGTAACATCACCATAGTCATCACAAAACACTGCATAAACCGAAAACGCGTTACTATACATCAGATATTATTCCAAGTCATTATTCCAAGATGTTTAATATTAAGGCAGTACAAGAACTAGAAACTTAGCATATGAGTGAAACTGCAGTGAAAACATACAAAAACAGATCCAACCAACAATTTTTTAGTAACCGATCAATAATATAACACGGTAACGGCAGCCGAAAAAAAAGTAAACTATCTCTAATCTTGTCGAATAAAACGGCCAACACAATATAACGAAAAACCTAACTCTCATCTGTATTTAGACAAAACTAATATATGGAAAAATGCTTTCTAAATCATTTTGAATACCTGCTGTTATTCCGGAGCGCATACATGCTGGTTGTCTCAGTTAATTATCAGCCAATGGGTCGCTGGCTTTAACTATTTCTTAACGACATAGCATGCTATACGAAAACCTTTTCAAAATCAGTTTATGTGTGGGATATTCATTCAAGAGTGATAAAACCACTCAGTCTGAACTTGTTTCAAATCGAAGCATAACCACAGACCAACGGATCACCTAGATTTACAAACCGTAAAAGCTGATGTCACTTGCATCTCAATACTTACATACACATGCGAAACACTAACAGTCAACAGGAACGTCACCCAGAAGATGAATTTGGAGAGATAATGAAATAATACAAACATTTTTTCCTACCAAATATAAATATTTACAACTTAGATTTATTTCATCAAAGTGTTTACTACGGCCAAATAAAGGTAACCATATGATATACCCATGGGTATATATATATCTTTGCCACTGTTGCTTTAAAGCCACACTAATTTTAAAATTACTTGACAACATTTGATATTACCGAAGCGTATAAGATGAATTTTTACAAAAATGCACAAAATTACTCTGAGCTCTTTTTGGCAGAATGTGATTTCACATTTTGACTTGACTATGTACACCTCAAACTCAGTAGCATTCAGAGGAATTTGCGTTGTTATCATGGAAGGATCTACAGGCGAAATAAAGAAAGTTATATGTATATAGTTAGAACCTGTCTGAAACGTGTGGTTTTGGAATGTACACTCCCCATCATTCAGAATGAACATTAATTCCTCAGAAGATTGGCGAAAATTGTTTACCACTTCCCCAACAAACTAAAAGCATTATTTAAGTGGAATGCCATACCGAGCAGATATAAGTAAGTGATTGGCACTACATTCCAAAGAGTAAACTGCCTCTAACTGTTCACAATCGATTATCGACATGTTATACGTCTTAACGATACCGAATTTACAGAAGTACTGCACCGTAAGGATAGTTTCTTCAGTTGATAAAAACATTTTACACTTAAGAACAGATTTCTCCAAAGCAGAAGTAAGTCTAAAAACATTGGTACATGACTGGAAATATGAGAACAACAACAGCTTACACTACTTGGGACCTTAAAACGCTGTACAGATCCATTCGGCAAAGTGCTAGCGAATTTGTCAAAAAATATTTGTTTAAAATGAATCACTGCAAACGCTGATCTTGAAGAGTTGACTGTCTTGATACTCAACTATAACATCTCTACAAATGATTAAAAATTTACTTACGTCATCTGTTCCACATTCAAAGTAAATTTCATGACCGAGTTTAGCTAGCGAGTTAATGGCACGGACGAGTACTAACACCACTTTTAGCAATTAAGATTAATACCTTTTAATTCTGTTGGTTGCAAGACCACTTTCATCGTACCTTACACCGCAAGGTCATTTCGCGACAAGTCGCGCGCGACGAACATGACTATGGTTTCTTCAATGTATTTGAGAATATAGCACAAAACACATACAGAATAGGAACCGAAAGATTTGCAAAGTGCTTACTTTAACTGTTTCTTTTTTTATAAGATTCATTAGTTAAGCCTGGATGGCTCTTGATATAAGTTGCTATTAAATGTGTGGAGTACGTAACAATGTGATTGTACACTTTTTGGTTATTTGTAGAAATTAGAGATATTGTACATGAGTTTTGTTTGAAACGATTCTTGTTGAAATATACATAACTTCCGTGTACAATTGGAAATACACTTTACTGTTGGGAACTTCGCCTTCTCTCTGGCTATTTCTGCTTACTTTCTCCACTCATACCGTGTTGTATACTTCGGATTTATTGTAGGAGTCTACTATCCTCAACCGAAGACGATTCTACAAACGGAACACAGCAGCTACAGCAGACACAACCCAAACAGTTAACGTTCCTGTGGATTATATAAATAATTTGTAGCAGAGGACTTAAACTTTATATCCAAGTAATCCTTTTTATTGATATAACTCGTCACTGCATTTTTGGTAATATATTGTTATTTAACATTTCATTGACTTGGATTATTATTCTTATATTTGTAATATTGGTGAACTTTCATAACAGTCCCCTACAAACCAATTGGTGAGCCCGTTTAGGACACGGATTATTTTGACATATTCATATTCTTATTTTTGCCATTTTGTATGTTCGTTGTGATTTTGTGTGCGGTTTTATATTTGTATCCTATTTTGCACCATCAACCTCACATCTATAATGTCGTCACCTCAGTCCGGTACATCAACCGAGCAGACAACTAGTAGCGAGACAAATGCCACAATAAATGCCATCACTGATTTCCGTTTACCGCAATACGGTTTCGCAGAACCCAGGATTTGGTTTTCAGTAATCGAGCCGTTGCTAGAAGCACGGGGCATTAAGTCCCAGATAGCCAAATATAATGTAGTGCTGGCAGGACTCCCTCCGTCAGTATTGACAGAAATCAGCGTCTTCATCGAAATCCCCCCCGACGGAAAACCAATTTGACAAACTTAAAGCCCTCCTTACACAACGCACCAGTTTGTCAGATAAGAAAAGAATCCAACAATTAATAATAATGTGTATTCTCATATAAACATATAAATTTGCATGAAAATGCATGTCATTTTTACAGGCACGATCAAGTATGATATAATATGAAATCGTAGATTCTCTACAAGTTAATAATGTTTCAAAAGTTAAATATTTGATAGATATATAAATACACTCACTGTCTGAACCAGGCCGTATAGTTATTGAGTTGTACAGTTGTCCTCCAGGTTACGCGGGAAAATCGACTTCGTTTCGTTTTCACCCCGTAGTTGTCGGCATACGATAACTAACCAATATTGAGGTAAGTACAACTTTTACAAGGGATTCAAAGCTGTTTTAGAAACGTAAAAGTGCTAAGGTGAGTCAATAAAGTGTAATGAAATAGGTAAGTGCAAGTATCATTAATAAATGCATTTATACAGGAAACTCCCTAGGCTGACAGCGTTCATTTGCAATGTATAATGCTACCCATATATGTCTTACTATCATGATGTCCACTTTCGGTTTTAATACATTTATCCTCATGCCGGTTTTTTTATTTTATACCTTTTTGTGCATTTAGTGCACAACCGTACCCTCCAGAGAATAGGAATAGAATAAGTCGAATCAAATTCATAAAGAGCTATAAAATGTTAGGTTTAATGGAATATAATGAGGATCAAGTAAAGGTGTTATCAGAAAATGAATGAGATAAGACATTGTGAAGTGGTATTTAGAGATCCGACAATGGACAACAAGTTAATTTATAAGATGCCTCATAAATCTCTGCAGATCCCGCGTGGTCGCATCTCAACAATAGGCTGAGCGAATGGCATATATTTAAAGGTAGAAGCATGATCTGTCTAGGCGTTCATTATCATCTTTTTCAAGATAAAGATCTAAGCCCTCATAAAAATCAGAAATATCTCGAGCCGTCAAATTGCATATTGCTGTTCCTGCAGAATGGAGTGATTCACCTTAGAGACCACCACCATATCTACTGATCAGCTAGCGCCACCCTCCCTCCTCACGGGCTGTGAACTAGACCCACGTAAACCATCTCAGCTCCTAAGGCACATGCTCCAGTTAATCGGACACCATAAAGTAGACGAGGAAGTGCTGAAACAGATATGGTTGCAACGTTTACCTAGAAATGCCCTGCAAATTTTAATCATCTCAGGAAAGCCGTATGACTTAGACCCACTAAGTGACATGGCAGATGGTATTATGGATGTTTTATCTGATAACACCATAAGTCACATAGCATCTGATAGTGGCTCCCGTGTCATTCCATACCCACAGCAGACACACCGATACTCACCGCCATTGCAGACTTAGCGGCAAGGATTGACAAGTTGGAAACTAATAGGTCTGATCGACGAGCCCGGAGACGGAGTTCACAAAGAAGGTCACCATCACGGCGACGATCTCTCTCACGACAGCGTTCCCACACGTCTTCTCGGGACAGTAGTATATATTGGTATCACTGGAAGTTTGGACGTCATGCCCTGAAATGTGTAAAACCGTGCAGCTTTAGCGAAGCCAACCAGGCTCAGGTAAACGTCTCAGCCAGACAGTGATGGCGACAGCTGTTACTAGCAAGCAAACAAATCGCCTTTTCTATGGGAGGGACAAAACTTCAGACACTTAATTCTTGGTAGACACAAGAGCAGAAGTTAGTGTGATCCCTCCCTCACTATCCAGGCGATCTACACGGACACCCGGAGAACTGTCTCTTCGGTCAGCCAACCACACAAGCATACAGACGTATGGAGAACAATCCCTTATACTGGACCTAGGTTTACGTCGGCGTCTCACATGCATTTTCATAGTGACCGACGTCGGTCACGCCATCCTTGGAGCTGATTTCTTAAGTAATTTCAACCTATTAGTTGACGTCAACAATAAAAAACTGATTGATAACAACACCCAACTAAAGATCCATGGAATTATCCCCAATTATTCCGTCTATAATATCAGCATCGAAAGACCAGTGGATTGAACTTTTTCCGCCATACTCCATCGTTTCCCTAGAATACATCGAGGACATCCCTCATACAGTTACTCACAAGACTGTTACCGCGGGTCAACCGATTCGTGCTCGTCCTCGTAGATTACCCCCGGACGAATCAGCAGCAGCCAAGGCAGAATTTGAACACATGAACACATCATCAGACCCTCCAATAGTCCTTGGTCTTCACCCTACACGTGGGGCCCAAAGATGGTCATGATTGGAGGCCATGTGGGGATTATCGACAATTAAAACACGCCACAGTTCCGGACCGTTACCCGATTCCCCAACTACATGATTTCTCCCTGATATTACATGGAAAAACCATAGTTACTAAAGTAGACCTGCTAAAGGCCAATCACAAAATACCAATAGCCCCATGTCAATGTAGTTGAAGATTGAACGTACGATTCATGGTTGTTTGCTCAAACCCAACTCCCCCATATTTTTTCGCGGGAGTCATTAATCCAGCAGTCATCGTCTCATCGGTCGCTGTTCGGAAAGTAGTCAGGAGAAAACCGACAGAAGTAATATCGTGATTTATTATTGTAATATTTGTTCATAGACCTTAGTTGTATATTGGCTATATGTTGGTGTTAGAATGAAGGATTCTCGAATCGCCAATCGGTGTTTTGGTTTTTGCGTCCGTTAGTACTAGGCGTTTCTGAAAGGCTTCGAGGGACAGTGAGAGGCCCAGCGTAGCAAGACCTGGGCATTAATGGTTTTTGAGACGTGATTGACAGTTTCTGACGTTTGGGTAGTCTCCGCCCGTCTCTCCTGGTGCCGGCCAAGTCTTCTTTGAACAAGCGTTATCTGTAACTTTCTGGAAGTTTGGTTACGTCCAATGACGCCTGGGTCAAAGGAGGGACAGGGCGTCTTGGAAGCAAGCAGGAAAGTAAGTCATGTTGACTTGTCTGGCACATGTAACGATGTGTCTGATGTTAAGCATGACATGGTTGATGTTACTGTTTCGCCGTCCAGGGATAATAGGAACATCAAACTCCCTAAATTTGAACCACGGTGTTTCGACGGAAACCCAGCTGATTATTTACAGTTTGTAAAGGAGTTTGAGATCATGCTGAGCAGTTTTTTATTAAGTGATGAATTGATATTGATGTATTTGATGAGGTACTGCACTGGAGTTGCTTCAAGGGCTATACAGTGCTGTAAGCTCATGCCCCCTACTGAGGGACACTCTGAGGCCAGAAATAGACTACGTCAAAGGTTTGGAAGAACTTCGATGATTGTAGGGAAGTTATTTGAGGCTGTTAAGGGTAACGGTGGTCAATTACAAGATGACCCCATGGCACTCACTGAGTTTTTGGATAATCTGATGACTTAAAAGAATGCATTGCTTTAGATGAATTGCATGAGTGACCTCAACTCGAGTTCCGTCCTAGAAGTAATAGCACGACGCCTACCTACTCGACTGCAAAGGAAGTGGGTGAAGATAAGCTCCCGTATGGAGGATGAGGGTATCGAGCCAAAGTTTGATGATATTCTGAAACTGGTTCAGGACAGCGTCAATCGGGCGATGGTCAAATTCGCCAGCATTTTGCATTCTGAGGTAGAACCTAAGGAACCAGTGAATTTAAAGAAAGCATTTGTGGTGAAGGCCCAAGGTACATCGAGAAAGGACGAGTGTATTATTTGCCATAACACGCATCAATTGAGCGATTGCAATCGCTTCATTGCTGTATCACCCATAGAAAGGTTAAAAATGGCAAATGGGAAGCGGCTGTGTTTCAGCTGCTTGAAGATTGGGCATAGAAATTTGAATTGTAAGGCAACAATTAAAGGAAGTAGTGGTTTAACTGATGTGCACCCACTTCTGAGAATAGCAAACGAACAGGAAAATTCGGCTAATT